CGGACGTAATACCCTTCCCGATGTACCTGACACAGAACGCTCTGGATGTACTTCTTCAATCTCGGAGCCTGAAGTGATCAAAGACGACTCCTCAGCTGCTGCAGAATTTTGGGTTGGGAAGTCAGTCTGCTCCGTCTGTCCTCCCCCATTATCCTCATGGGTAACGTTCGCTTCCTCCACGACATAAGGCGTGCTAAGGTCATAACATGTTGTCCATTCAGATGTCCATTTCAGCAGTTGATTTTTATGTTTTTTTATTATTTGTGACGTTAATAAATCTGCTATTAAGTAAACTGTCTTGCCAATTCTTTTAATAACTGTGCCTTTATTCCAAGTAAAATGCTGATTAGGGTAATATTTCTTATAATAAACTATATCATTAGGATTAAAACATTGTTCATTAGTTCCACCATAAGACTTAGTCTGCAAGCACTGTTTATGTTTAACAATATCAGCGAGAGCATTGGATGAGAACGGTGTTTTAATTGGAATTATCAAGTCCAAACGCGAACGAAGTTTTCGGCCAAAAACTAATTGTGCTGGCGACAACCCAGTGGTAACGTGAACTGAGTTCCTATAATCGAAAAGATATTTTAATAAGTTTTCGTTATTTTTAACTACATTATTGCCAGCCATTAAACATGACTTGATGCCTTTCTTTACAATTTTTACAAAACTTTCCGCCTGTCCATTACTAGCCGGATGATAAGCGGGAGATGTTACGTGCGATATCCCGTTTACTGAGCAAAAATGAACGAACTCTGCTGATAGAAAACATGTTGCATTATCACTAACTAATGTGTGGATAAGACCAAATCTCGACATAAATTCTTGTAATTTTGCAATTACTGCAGCTGACGAGGTGCAATTCATTTTATATACTTCGACCCATTTTGAATAAGCATCTACGATTACTAAATATGACTGGCTTTTAATCGGGCCGAGAAAATCGAGATGCACTCGGTAGAAGGGCTCAGGGGGGTGTGGCCACACGGCGAGCGGCGCGCGAGGCGGGGACGGTCTGAGCTGTGTACATACTTCACAGCTACCGATCATGGATTCAATGGCTTTATCTATCCCCGGAAACCAAATCCTACTTCTTGCTTCCGCTTTACACTTAACAATACCTAAGTGTGATTTGTGTAACTCCGACAAAATTCGACTATGCAACTTTTCTGGAACTACAACAACCTTATGACCCCGCATAATTATACCCCTTTCAGACGAAAGCTGATTTTTACATAAATAGTAGGGCCGTACCTTTTCGTCAGATATATATTTAGGCCAACCATTCGATATATACTTTGCTACCTTATTTAAAACTGAATCCTTATACGTTTGATTACGCAATTCACTTAATGTAATTGGTAAGGTACCATCAACAACAAAATTAATATACGATGCCCTATCTTCGATAAAGTCCGCTGTACTACTCGTTTCGTGGCCGCAATCGGTGCATGATTCATCGCTGGCGTTCGCTCGAGACAAATAATCCGCGCAGTTATCAGCGCTGCGAATGTATTCGATTTTAAAATTGTATGCACTTAAAAATAATGCATATCTCTGTAACAAATGTATTGATGAAAACGACGCACGCCAAATATAATCGCTGTCGCTTCTTTCTGTATTTGTGAATACATTTTTTCCGCTGAATTCAAGGTGCGCGATGCAAAACATACCGGGCGTTCGACCTTATCATCACCGGACTGCGATAATACCGCGCCTAACCCAGTCGGTGACGCGTCTACCGTTAAAATAACAGTTGCATTCGGATTAAAATGAGCTAGGACTTGATCTGAAACTAACAATTTTTTTATCGTGTTGAATGCTTTGTCGTGTTCCGCATCCCAACGCCACTGACTATTTTTATGTAAAAAACTATATAAATGGCTCAAAATCGAAGATGCGTCAGGAACGAAACTTCTGTAATAATTGACAAGACCTAAAAACGATTGTAATTTACCAACATCGCCTGGTACTGGCGCATTCAATATCGCATTAACTTTTCCGGATGATTTTCTTAATCCATTTTTATCCACAATATATCCTAAATATTCTACTTCGTCTTTGAAAAAATCGCATTTCGTTTTTTGCAGTGTTAAACCCGCGTCTTGCAGCCGTTTTAAAACCGCACGTAATCTACTTAAATGTTCATTTCTATTACTTCCTGTTATTAAAATGTCATCTAACATGCATAATACTCCTTCCATACCGGATAAAATGCAATCCATCACGTGTTGAAAAATAGCAGGAGCTGGGGCCAAACCAAAACTTAGTCGTGTGTATTTAAACAATCCTTTATGAGTGTTAATACATGTAAGTTTTTGTGATTCCTCATCTAAAACACACTGCGCATACGTCTGAGATAAATCTAATTTACTGAACTGTTGTCCCCCATATAATTTAGTAAATAATTCTTGAGGCGTCGGTAAGGGGTATTGATCAACTAACAGCTGCTTATTAATTGAAACAGAGTAATCCGCACACAAACTAATCGAGCCATCCCGCTTTAAAACCGGCACGATGGGTGACGCATATTCAGAATGCTCAATCGGTTTTAATATTCCGACGCGTACCAAACGGTCTAACTCCGTGTCTATTTTATCAGGCAGTGCAAAAGGTACTGGCCGCGGCTTAAAAAATATCGGCTTTGCGTCTTTTCGCAGATTTCGTTTAACTTTATATTTGTTGAAAGTTCCTAATTCATCCGAGAAAACACTAGGGTATTGATATTGTAAGTGCTCAGCGGTATTAGTCGGATATTCGCAGTAATTTATAGGTAATAATTCCAGTTTGTACAGGGAAATAAAATCTCTGCCTAAGATAGGTGGGCCGCCCTTTCGAATAACATACACATTTATCGTTTGCGTTTTATCCAAATAGGTAAAAGGTAACCGTACGATTCCTACACAATTAATATTACTGCCAGTATATGTAAGTAATCGTTTGTTGCTTTTTGATAAAGATACATCATTGAAGTTATTTAAATACGTTTGCTCGGAAATCGCAGTAACAGCTGATCCGCTATCAATCTGAAATTCTATCTGCACGCCCCGGACATTAACTAGCACTGTCATAGGTTCCCCGTTACGTGTACGAATATTAAAAAACTCACCGTCGTCACCGTTCTCATCAATACTCTCGTTTAATATGAAATTAATTTTTTTTCACATACGGCGTAAATGACCTTTCACGTGGCACTTTTTGCATGTGTAATTAGCAAACCGACATTGCGCCGACGTGTGATTCTTAAACCCACACACTGAGCACATCACTTTGTCACTGTTACCACTTTTGGAGCCGATCTTGAACAGCTGTCCAGAGTGCGTCGCGGGGCCACCCGCGACCCCCAACGTCGGCACCGCTGCACCTCTGCGCGCGCATTGCACGCTCTCCGCCAGCTCCACTGCTTTTGCGAGGGTCAGTTCCCTTGGATCCTGAGCGAATAATTTCTCTCGCTCCGCTCCCGGCAGCATACCCATTATAAAATGGTCCCTTAATGACTCCTCTACGTTTAGGAATCCACAATGTGCCGTCAATCCGCGCCGCCTCGCCGCCCATTGAGAAAAACCTTCTCCTTCATGCTGCATAGCTGCATAGAACTTGTAACGCTCTCCGAAACCGCATCGCTTAGGTATAAAGTGATCATCTAATAGCTTCAATATTTCTTCAAATGGCACCCTTCATGGAGCCAAATCATTCGCGAGTTGGTAGGTTGCCTCACTGAGTGCGCTCAGCAATATCGCCCTGCGACGTATACCCGCAGGATCTTCTCTTTCCACTATTCCATTTGCAATAAATCACTGCTGCAGCCGGCCTTTATATACTTGCCACGACTGGATATTGTGGTCAAAACTGGACAAAATCCCGAATTGCGCCATTTCAATTATTTATTTTTGCACGAGGGTAGAATAATACTCGTCGCCACTGTTATGTATGGGAGTAGTGAAACGCTTGCTGGTTAGTAACGCACTGCTTTAATGTCGCATATTCACAAGTACTGTGGGCGCAGCCACAGATAATGTATACATACACAACAGAATTTATTGCATGTTTAGTTTTTATTTTTTTGGATGGGCTAATTTTCTGCCTAGGGGGGTGATGTGGCGGATGAAAACAACCGCCGCGTCTATTTTAAATTTAGCTCGCAAAAGCACGCGACTCGCGCTTTGCAAACGAGTCGCCTCTGATTGGTCGGCGACCGGGGAGTTACCTCTGCCTCGACAATCGCCGCTCAGAACACAACGGTCGACTTGTCTTTGTTAACAATAATATTATTTTAAGGGTGAAAATATTGTGAACACATCTAAAGTTCTTCTGATGTAAATACAATTAATAGTGAGCACATTTGTGTTTTATTTAATGGCATTCCGCCCATTTCATGCCATAAATGTTTATCAAATTGTACTCGGTGTTGGGTGTTTGTGATAACAATGGAAATGCTTAGTCTTTGGCGTTGAGTACTGGCTTAATTTATATATTAGGTCCTTGCATGTGCAATTGGCGTTTTGTCGTCCTGGCCACTTTGGTCTCGAATATCCAGTGTTTGGTCAGGAATTCCAAATTCAAATACTTAGGCTTGTGAATTTGTTTTAAATTTAGTGATTCTTTTTTTTTTACGCCATATGATTTTTCTGACATTGGTCTGTTCACATTATGGAAAGCTAAAATTATCGCATCATCTACGAATACATGGCAGTTGGCATCAATGCAAACACTTCCACTTCACGCCAGTCTTCTGTGAGATCGTGAAACTTCCCCGGATGGACCTGCCTATTTGTGCAAGAATGAATAATATTGCGTGGCCCTACCACAGAAGCAGTAGAAATATGTAGGAATCAGAAATAAATTACATAAAAAGAATAAAAATAATTACAGTACAACTACATGAATCCAGCGAGAATATATTCAGGAAATGTGTTTTGTATATTTCCCACTTTTAATAGGAATACTGTTGTAAATATTTCCCAAAACAGGACAAATTAGTTGCAACAACATCAGCCCCATTCTGAAAAAGTAGCTTCATGAAAGTCCTCAATTTTGAATCGCTTCAAACTTGGTGGTAAATTTTCTTGGAGTTTATCAAACACTTCACAGTAGACCCAAGGGAAAACATGAGTAATTCCATTAGAATCGTATATTGTGGTATTCTCGTTAGCTTGTGGATTTACTGTCTTTTCTGTTTGCAGCTTATTATACAAATCCTCAAAAGATGGCATATTTGGTATTAAATTTTTTCTTTCTCTTAATTCAACTGGAATGAAAAAAAAGAATATATTACTTAAACAGTCGTTATGCAGACAATCTCCACAATGAATATCAATCATTCTTTACAATTGCAGTGCGTGTTAATAAACTAAAATTAATAGCTTATGTAATTAACAGTCTATGACTAAAAAAATTAATATCAAATGCCATCAATAACTGCTCAGCATTTGCTTTGAAATCAAAGCAAATGCTGAGAAAAAATTGATGATATCATAAGTTTGTATAATATAATTAATTTATATTCATGAGGCCATAAAGTTGCTTTTCAATTAATTTTTAAGAGTCATCTTAAGTATCAAGACTATTCCTAAGGACTAAATAAACTTGTTTAACACTTATCATTATATAATAACTTTGACATGGGTAAAAAGCCTGTTTCATAAGAAACATCAATAATATCATACTAACATAGTATTTTATAATGATATTATTTGTTAAAAGGTTTTTAACGCCTACTTTATTAAAAGTGGCTATGCATCTGCAACCCGAGTACTACAGGTGTTACAAATATCCATGGGCAACAGTTATCACTACATCATGTGAACAACTCACTTGCCACCTTCTTACAAAAAAAAATATAATTAAATTGTAAAGTAAACAAAGTACCAAATTGTTTCAACTCATTAAGTTGCTCCTCACTGTAATGGGAGTAATGACATATTCCTCCAAACCGACATTCACCATTTGAAAATTTTAAACAAGGCTTCTTTCTGCTTTCCTCACTAAGGATTATAGCCGGGTCTGAAAAACATGAATGAATGTTATAAATAAACTTTGTAAAGCAGTTAACAAATAATGAAATATAGTTTACATAATTATAATGAACATTTGGTATTTAAGTTCATAGAACCAAGGTACATAAATTGGCAAGTTTTCTATACTCATGGCTTCTACTTCATTAGATTGAAATACATTTACTATTTATATGAAACATGATAGGGATAGGTGTACCTCAGAGAAGCTTTGATATTATTTTCTTTACATGAAAAGTTAGTAAGTGTGAGTTTTCCTAAATGTTAAGTGTTTGTTATAGATTTTTCTTTACTTGTTAAATTTTTAGATGTGATAATGTTAACAAGAGCAAAATGGCGGATTTTCTTAGTGAAAGTAACAAGATATAATTATGTTTTTTCTCTAAAACTATAGGTGACCACCGAATTCTGCTTGTTGATTAATTTGTAAGTCATATTTCTCTATAGCTCTCTGTTGTTTAAATTCCTTTTGATTGCTATATCGAAGTAGTAACCTGCTAAAATTGTACCATTTAGGATATCAAAACAGTAATATAAGATAATATCTAACCTTTATATTGTTGATAATGTTCATTGACCAACTTCTGATGAACCGTACCATTGTTATGCATTTTTATCATTGAAGGTGTAGCCACCATTGTTTTGTCACAATAGTCGCAGTAATATCTTTTACCCATATTCCTGAATGTTAAGAGAGACTAACTATTACATTCCTTTAATATTTCAATCGAACGTATTTTCATCGTACAGTACAGAACACAATACACATCAATGCAATGATCATGATTTCATGATCAATCAAAATTTCAAAAACAGCACACAACCTAGCGATGTGCGACTCGAGTTATTTGACTCGAGTAACTCGAGTCAAACCTTAAACGAGTCAACTCGAGTTCAGTTTTAAGCAACTCGAATCAACTCGGTCGTCCGAACGCAAGCCGGACGTTATACGCGGCGGCCTCACGAGTTGTTCCGTGCGCCAGGCCACCTCAAGTCCGTCGGATCTGTAAAGGCCCCTAAGGCCAACAGTGGCTCATCCAGCCCAAAAAAAAAAAAGCGAGCCGCCCGATTACCGACCGAGCTATTATGACATTTTCTCTTGCGGCGAAATTTACCGTCATATTCGAATAATATTTTTCATTCCCTGAAAACAGGATAAAAGGACATTTTCTGAAAATGAAACCTAGCTAGATCGATTTTTCGCCCCCAAATCTACGCATATACTAAAATTCATGAAAATCGCTGGAGCCGTTTCCGAGATTCCGATTATATATATATATATATATATATACAAGAATTGCTCGTTTATATTAACAAATGTTTTTATCAAATTCTCAATAATTAAATGTCATTGGTAATGTAATATCGAGTTTTAATAAAAAAAATATTTGACGTCATAAAAATTATTATCATTGAACCACATAAGTAACTTCTTTAAATTGTCGTTCAGCATTTTCAATTTTCATGTCAATCAAACAACTATTACTAAATTCTCTTGATAGGACTGTTTTTTAGGACAAGTCTCTGCGGGTTTCTTTTTGACCCATTATTTACTTCGTTTTAAGCAATTCTTTTACGTTTTTTTTACAAAATTACATGTTTTTTAATTAGTTATTTTGTTATTCGATTCAGGGCTAAAGAAACTGATTTATCTTACTAAATAAGCTGTTTATTTTTTTTTTCCAATGAAGGTCTTGATAAATAAAATACCTAGAAATTTAGATTAATAAAAGAAATTTGATTAAAATTATATATGGTTTATTAATAAAACATAATATTTATAAATATTAAAATGTTATATTGTATGTTATTAAAACATCCCATTCATTTAAATAATGTGAATTTGGTATAAAAATTACTATTACCTATTATTGTATCAGACTGAACTAAATACATTTTTTTTAAACTTAAAATTAGACCGACATATCGATATATTTTTTCTATGTATCGAGGCCGATATTGATATTTTTATAAATATCGATATTTTTTTGGACTTTCGGCATCCCTAACACAAGCCCAAAGAGAATATAGATTAAGTTAAGGTAAATAAAAGTTGTATTGCGAATACTTCAATTTTCATGATGAGGAACTATAAACTGCCGTGCCGTGCCGTGTGGTGCCGGCGTAAGAATAAGCCACCCCATCTCATCCTATGGGTGTTGTAAGAGGCGACTAAGGGACAAGCCACAAACATCTGGTGGCCACCGATAGATGGCGGGATAACCATATCGACTCTCCAGACCCTAAATAACCAGGCCAATAACGGGCAGCAGCGTTATAGGTGCGAGGAGTCTGGAGGAACTGCGGTTGCCAACCCGCTTGCCAGGCGTGGCAACTCCATACAACAACATGAAGTCCACACTCCGACCATCTCGTGCCCATATCCAGAACTCCGAAAGCTTTCAGCTCGAGCTACATAATCGCTTCCAATGCCTAGAAAATTGCAGCACGGTGGACGATATTAACGCTAAGCTCGTGGAAATTGTCCATGCCGTGGGGCCTTAAATTTTATAAGGCCCGCCGGACAAATAGAACGCAAAAACGCTCCGATCACACTCTTAACCTCTTGGGAAAAAGATGTGATGTGAGATGCGGCTGCAGTCTTTAACTGACATGTCAGACTACAGGCGGGCTTAATAGGCAGATCTCCAAATACATGCGGCGTGACTTACGCAACTTCAATACAGCCCGTATTGAGGGAGCTATAGAGCGGAACAAAAGTCTTCGCCAGAGATCTGTCTATCGGACGAAGCCAACTGACTAAGTTGAAGACTGACAGCGGGGCTATCATCTCCAGTAGACCAGAGGTTTTGAGTGAGATTGAGAGGTTCTATGGACAGCTGTACACATCGTCGTTGGAGCCACCCACATGTGTGAGTAACGACCCAAGAGCAAAGCTTATCCGACACTATTCCGAGAATATCACGGACGTCAGTCTGAGCGAGATTAGAATGGCTCTTGACCATCTTAAGAATGGCAAAGCATCGGGAGAGGACGGAATTACAGAAGAGCTTTTGAAAGCGGGTGGAGAACCGGTACATGTAGTCCTTCAGAGGCTCTTCAATTCCGTCCTTCAGGGTGGTGCTACACCAGAGGCGTGGAGCAGAAGTGTGGTGGTGCTGTTCTTCAAGAAAGGCGATAACGCTCTCTTGAAGAACTATAGACCGATATCCCTTCTGAGCCGCGTCTATGTGCTGTTCTCAAGAGTCATATTGAATCGTCTCGCTTCCAGACTCGACGACTTCCAGCCTCCCGAACAAGCCGGATTCCGAAAAGGCTTCAGTACCTAAGACCACATACACACTTTGCGGCAGATTATACAGAAGACCGAAGAGTATAATCTGCCTTTGTGCCTAGCGTATGTGAACTATGAGAAAGCCTTAGATTCTGTCGAATTTTGGGCGGCACTCCAGGCTCTTCAGCGGTGCCAAATTGACTGTCGGTATATCGAAGTGCTGCGGTGTTTGTATAACAAGGCTACGATGTCCGTCCAAGTACAGTCCTGTAGTACAAAACCTATCCAACTGCAGAAGGGTGTAAGACAGGTGTATCCCCGAAACTCTTTACCGCTGCGTTGGAAGATGTTTTCAAGCTTCTGGACTGGAAAGGACGAGGTATTAACATCAATGGCGAATACATCACCCAACTTCGATTTGCCGACGATATAGTCATCATGGCAGAATCGCTGGAGGACCTGGGTGCTATGCTCAATGAGCTCAACAGTGTCTCCTAACGGGTGGGCCTTAAGATGAAAATGGACAAGACGAAGATCATGTCTAATGTCACGCCAATACCGGTTGTTGTTGGGAGCACTGAGCTCGAAGTTGTTGACGAGTACGTTTACCTAGGACAGTTAGTCCGGCTAGGTAAGTCCAACTTCGACGCAGAGGTCAATCGGCGAATCCAACTCGGATGGGCAGCGTTAAGGAAACTTCGGCAAATCTTCTCGTCGAATATACCTCAATGTTTGAAGACTAAAGTCTTCAATCAATGTGTGTTGCCAGTGATGACCTACGGAACGGAGACGTGGTCCTTCACTGCTGGCAGTATGAGGAAGCTCAAAGTCGTTCAGCGGGCTATGCTCGGTATTTCTCTGCGTGATAGAGTTCGTAACGAAGACATCCGCAGTAGAACTAAGATAACCGACATAGCTCAGAGAATTAGCAAGCTGAAGTGGCGATGGGCCGGCCATATAGCTCCTAGAACCGATAGCCGTTGGGGAAGAAAGGTTCTCGAGTGGCAGCCTCGTACTGGCCATCGCAGTGTAGGACGACCCCCCACTAGATGGAGTGAAGACCTGTGCAAATGTGCGGGAAGTCGATGCAGGTGGCTCAGGATCGTACTTCATGTCAGTCTATGGGGGAGGCCTATGTTCAGCAGTGGGCTCAAACAGGCTGAAATGATGATTATGAACTATAAACTACTACTACGCAGACCATAGCATAGCATCATTTGTACACCGTATTCGTATATTAAATAAAAAAAAATTAAGTCTTGCTTAGTTCGAGGTTTGGAGTTAATATACTGTATAATCCCCACTTAACTATCATGAAAGGCGTTGGAATAAAACGTTGGTCTTAGGAGGATAATCTGTAATTACAATGTAAATGATAACATAACTATACTATAAATAAGAACCTTTCACGTCCATTATAAACAAGCTTTTCCTGACCTAAATTCAAAAACATCTTACCGTTGACACTACATCACACAACAAACAAAAGGGTGAAAGGGGCATAGAGCCAGTAACGTTTCGAAAACATTACTTTCAATGTATAAAGGTACAGTGTCTTTACGAACGCCGCAGGTTTACTGTTACTAAGACTACAAATGATACAGGTTTGATATGTGAAAGGACATTAAATAGTTGCTAATAAGGGTTCGTTTAACAGAAAAATATAAATATTTAATATTTCGAGTTTCAGACAGTGATCATAAAGAAAATAAAGTATATTTTTTATTATTATTGCGCTTAAGATACACAAAATTACACGCTTGCACGTTTATTTTATTTTATATTTAATATTGATATATGATTATTTATTAAGGACAGTAGGTACATTTCTTGTAATAATACATTGGTTGATTAGGAAATTGGTTGATTCTGGTCTTATACGGATTAAAAGCAAAAAGAGGATACTTATGTTCATGTGGCTTGAATGGAGCAGGGGGTAAGGGCTGCAAGTTTTCTCCAAACAATCTAATGACTGGTCTATTAAAGTTTTGTGATGGTCGAGTAATTTGTGGAAGTAAATTTATTTCATTGTTACGATTAATTCCCACAGGACTGTGGGTTGTCGTTGCGGATGGCTGTAATGCGTACGGATATGCATTTGAAAAAGGATTTGAACTAAATGCTTCCATAGGCCTGAATTCAGATGAAGAGATAGGATCTAAATAATTTTCAACCCTATTATGCGATTTGTATTCGCCGTATGTAGGTGTAGGAGATCTGAAATATTCATTGGGTTGAATTGTGTCCTGGTTTGTATCTTTGTTTAACAGTACAGAACTTGGGTATGGCATTTGTAAAGAAATGTCGTCATGGATCTGACCAGAACGACCTAAAGCTACACGACTGGAGGAACTCGTGAAACCACCGGAATTACTTCTCCGACTACCTGAAACAAAAAGAACAATGTAATAAAAAAAGACGACAGCGTTTGACAGTATATTAAACGACAGTAATGTAGGGGTTTAATAAAATATTATTATAATAGACATAAATATAAGAACAAACATGTAACCAAAAAAATATAAAACTGAAAGTGTATGTTATAACGTTGGTGTATCTTAATATATAAATAATTGTAACATAAATTGTGTGTACTTATTACATGCACTTTATTAAATGCAATTGATAACGGTTTTATTTAATAAATTGGAATTGTAAATGTCAAAAATTCGGTCATCGTGTGGGTTCCTCAAGTCGGTGTCCGTGTGCGAGCGCATCGTAAAAATTTTAATCTCATAATTTTTCCAAACGTGCCAAAAGAAGTATAACTTAAAAAAATTACAGAATACATAGTTTCATGCACTTACTATTTAGAAAGTTATAAGTTAGTAAATTGTAATTACTATCACCGTATACTAACATACATATATGTGAACATCATTATATTAATATACAATACACTTTATAAAACACAACATAGACTGCTATAATATTACCAAATTATATTGATGAGGCATTAGATTAATACAGTGTTTTACTTTAAGAATGTTAATGATTATAATAATAATTAAAATCAAGGTATGTATGTAATAGGCGTTCGTTAGAACGAAAGTGATTTTGTTAACAATAAATAAATAAATTTTAATTACTACCAAAAGTTTGTGCAGCTTTTATTGTCCCGAGGTCTGAGATAGCCGCAATTTCAAGATTTTCGTCAGGGTTTTCTGCAAATCTAGCTTTATTATCTAAAATTGTATCATGACTTTCATTAGGAACAAAACGGATAGAGTCTATAGGTGCGTTAACTTGATCTTCGACACTTTTTTCATTTATTTTCGTTGATTTTATATTGAATATTTGGGTGCTTAATTTGACATCGCTTGCTGTTTTGTCATCTTCGTTATTAAATGAAGTCTGGTCGTTACCGTTATGGCTGTCTTTGTTGAGTTTATCATCATTTAAATCAATAACAGATCTTTCGCTACTTATTTCTTCAGCGGCATCATTAATTTCCAATAATTCCTCGTTCTTTCTGGATGTTTCTACTAACCGAGCATCATCAGACGATGTTTTTAAATCATCATCGACTGTAGAAATATTGGATTCTGCATTTTTCGATTCTGTTTTAATGTCATCGCTAACAAAACTTTTGTCTAAATTGGTCTCCGATGAGCGTTCTATACGGGTTTCAGTTGAAGTATGGTCATTGTCGGGGCTTTTTACATCTGATTCTAGCTCACCACTTTTTGCAGATTCTTCTATAGGATTAGGTGAATCAGTTTTTTCATTAATACTCTCTTTTAGTTCTGAATCCTGTAATGATTTATGAGATATTATGAATCACTTTTTAAAACTGGATAGGGCTACGCAATCCAGTTTTAAAAAGTCTTTGCATTTTTTGGCAGGTTTGTCCGGGTATGTACCACGAACGCACAGAAGACCAGCGTGGAGTGGAAGTGTTATACTTCTGCGTTTCGTCTGGTGAGTGAGGTAGTCGAAGCCCACTATATTAAAAGGTGGCAATGTTTTTGCAACTTGTTTTGTTTTTGCAATATAAATGAGCGGCGGTTATCACTTAAAATCAGGTGAACCGCTAGCTCACTTGCCGTCTTCTCACATACAAAAAAAAATACAAATATTTGTACTTACAGCTTGAATAGACCTCAAATAAACGACGAATAAAAGTAATTCGAACAAAATTAGAGTCGACATTTGCATTGTTTTTACGATATTGTAATTGAATTTAATCCAAGAACTACATCGATGTTCACACCAAAGCGTATGCAACAGAACTAAGTACCATGCTTACCTAATAATGAGATGCTTATCCCTTTTAACTGTGAAATCAATTGGGGGCACTAAATATTAAATGGCATGCGTTACACAATTCTTAATACCCTTACCTATTTACATTTAACTGCTGATTATTCTTCATGCTTCACCACTGTTTTCACTATTAATTCGTAAATTTAATTATTATTTATTTTATTGAAATGTTAATTACAATGTTTAACTGGTACTTAACATTTCATGGGCACTATTTCGAAGATACCACCATACCATCCGGTACCACCGGGACGACGGTACCGCAGAGCGACTAATTTCATTATATAATCTTGATAGTGAGCAGTCCATCACTGCGCGTTGTTCATGAATGTTTTAAGATTGAAATTCTGTCTCTTTAGCTTTGGGACTTGAAATGTTTGATAATTTTATCATCACCAGATGTTGACCAAATTTATATAGATCCATCCTTTTGCAGTTTTGATTCAAGAATTATAGTTGAACAAACATAAAAACTTGTTGTACTAGACTTATCGCTGCGGATTGTAATAAACGAACGGTAATTCTTGTCTCAAAATCCAGCTAGGTTTCTTGGCATCACGCCGCGTGGACTAGGTTCGTTAGATAATAATTATGTAGTTTAGTAAGTATTTAATGTAGAAACATTTTTTGTGCAATAAATATGCAGTTCTAATTAAAAAAATATTGGTACACAGTTGGTAGGGCCACGCATGTGCTCATGCGTGCGTTAGTTAAGGAGTGTCGCCTACGGGCTATCAAGGTTCGGTGCGGACCGTGACCCCGGTGGCCGTTGACTGTGCTTGATTAGTCGGTGGCTGGGGGCGGTGAGAACCGCCCTGGAACGCGGGTGTACCTAGTGTACGCGTTGTGTTGGTTTCGCCGTGCTCGAAGGCGAGAAAGAACTATGGTGTTTGCTGTTGCACTCACTGGGTGTGTAGTGTTATCTGGCGGCACCTCCGACGGTGGGTCCTACGTACTTGCTCGACCGGGGCGATAAGGACGTTGCGCGGACGACGCTTATTAACGCTCGCGTTAGTGACGGGTTGGTAGCGCTTGCTGCGCTCACCACCAGAGGGTTGGGATGATGTTCGGCTCGGTCGAGGAACACTGTGCAGGTCGACGTTGCGTTGATACCACTGCGCGGTGGTGTAGGGCGATTGGACTGCCTTTGTCTTCATAGGTGCTCACAAGTAAGATAAAAATCACAGGAATAGTTACAAGCGTGGATTTGGCCCGGGATCGCCGGAGCGGAAAAAAAGAGTTACAATAACGTTGCCATATGCTATGTATAAAATTAATATTAGTAACATTTAGTGTTGCTATAGTTGCAACATGTGGATAAACTTGTTTTGAAAGATTTGCAACTTGTGCAAGCGAGTAGGGTCCGTGTGGGTGAAAGGCCATGCATGGGTAGGACATAATAGGCCGTACGCAGGTTTGATATAATAATAATTTGTGACTTAAGGAACTTTCTGATTCTAGGGATTTAAAAAAAGTCGTAACCATATCAGTTACACAATACAGTCAACACTATTCCATCACAATTCTTAGATATAAATGTGTTAAATTTTATATAGTCAGTATAAAAATATTAAAATTTGTACAAAGAATTTTTTTATAGTATTTATATTTCGACGTATTAAGATAATTGTTCATTAAGTTACATATTTTACCATACTGGCATATACAAGTTATTTTCAAAGCGGCTGTGATACAAGCTGGAAGGAGAAAAAAGAAGAATACAGCAGTCACAAAATAAGTCACCTAAACAATATATTTCTGTCATTGCCAGTTTTAAATTTTGTTTCGCAAGATAATATTAAAATAATGATTGTTTTAGTTTAAGTTTATTGCTGCAATCTCAATAATGGTACGTATTTAATGTTTTTGCGTTATTTTACTTGAAATCCTTGGGATAGTTAATAAAAATGTATGTAATATTTCGCTGGACATAGTAAAGAGCATAAAAGCCTAATTTTTAAACGTTGTGTTATCTCTTTCTTTGATTTTTAGCCAATTAAATTAAATTTTCACCAAACTTTAATGTAGGATTAAACCCACTTAGCGAATACAGAGAAAGAAAATATGTTTTTACACCAGAGGGCTTTTATTTTGAATAAGAAAAGTAAGTGAAAACAAGCTGATTTTGAGAAAAAATACAATGTAACATTCAAGCAAATTAATGACAATATCACAAAAGTTACATTTTTAGTAGTTTACAATAATCGTGGTATGGTATTTGTTGTATGTTATACCGTTTTTTACCAAACGATTTTTTGGTAAAGGTTGAGATTGGCGGCCCAGGTTTTTTTTTTCTCTTATAAATATTTTTAAACGATAAAAAAACGTGGTCATAATTAAGTGTCAAGAGTAAAAATCTGCGATATTGCCTACTTATCATAAAGAATAAATAATAACACTTATTAACTCCACCATTACGAAAATACAATACTATTACAAAAAACGACACTAAACTTACGTTATTACTTTGATGGAAGATACATATAGTGATACTGGATTCTTAAAGAACATCAAAAACAAATTTCTACTTTTATTTTTTACTGTTGAACATCGTGAATTATTTAAGTTAATATTAGCGCGCCAATACAAAAACGATTCACAACTGCGTATTACAGAAACACCACAGATAAATAATCAATATTGTTTTTAAGCCCTTATTTCTGGGTGGTCATAAAAAAAATAGCCACGAAGGTTCAGGCGGGAGCGGAGCTCCTAACCTAACCTAAACTATCCGTGTCGGATTGCTCTGTGTCGGATCTGTGACTTATTAAATGAAAAAAAAAAATAATCGAAAAATCGACACGAGTATGTATACGAGTGCGTTGTACGCAAAGTAATAAACAAAATATTCAGTGTAAAATTGCAAGATATTTTTTTATTTTCTCAAAATCTGGAAGTTTCCGTAGATTTTGGTTTTATAATTTATGTAATGGGTGTGATTTTTTATCGTTTAAAAATATTTATAAGAGAAAAAAACCTGTGCCGCCAAACCTTTACCTTTCTATTGCCGCTATAACAACAAATACTAAAAAAACAAAATATACTACAATATTTAAGTGGGGATCCCATACAACTGATCATTTTTTCGTTTTTATAGATAATGGTACGGAACCCTTTGTGCGTGAGTCTGACTCACACTAGGCCAGTTTTAAGTATTGCATACTGCTGTGTGAAAAGGGATTTCTACGTTTAAAAAAGATCGATAAGCCCGCAAAGCAATTGATAGTGCGAGATCGTCTTGAATCTCTAACTTCGTTTTCTTACGTGTTTCTTTTATTTGCCATTGCTCAACTCAATATATTGCACGTCGCGCTTACAAAAGCTTTAGATGTGATCTATGTTTTTCCCATTCTTTCGATAAAATATACTGCCAGCACGCCCGCGCTAACATAAGATTGTTCATTTTTTTTGTCATCAAAAATTTTATTCATCATCATCATTATCAGCCTTTGGTTGTCCACTACTGGACGTCGTCCTCTCCTCATTAACGCTATATGACTAAATTAATTCAACTAGGGAGTATTAAAAACCAAGAAAGTGTAATGTGATTCATTATAAATATAATAAAAATATTTCAAGACATGTTTTTCTACAGCGTTTTCTAGTCCAAAACTTAGCAAAGCTTGCACTAGTGGTACTAGGTAAATGATAAACATACTGAAACATACGGTAAGTTTCTTTTGTTAAACAAATGTCTCTACTAGTCCTTACTAAAATGATAATGACACTAACGCACCGAAATTGACGCACTCAAATGTTAATGTTAATGTTTTATACATATTTTAACACTCAAATTACACCAATTGGTGAAATAAGATTGCGATTATGTAGACTGCTATCTCTTTTCGTATCATACGTTCTATATGATCTGTCGCATTCAGTTATATATTTCACTAGCTGACCCGGCAAACGTTGTTTTGCCATATAAATTATTTGTAGGGTAGATCCTTAACATTTAGGGGGATGAAAAATAGATGTCCGATTCTCCACCTTGGCCGATACGCACACAAAATTTCACGAAAATTGGTCGAGCCGTTTCGGAGGAGTTCAATTACAAACACCATGACATATTTTAACACTCAAATTACACCAATTGGTGAAATAAGATTGCGATTATGTAGACTGCTATCTCTTTTCGTATCATACGTTCTCTATATGATCTGTCGCATTCAGTTATATATTTCACTAGCTGACCCGGCAAACGTTGTTTTGCCATATAAATTATTTGTAGGGTAGATCCTTAACATTTAGGGGGATGAAAAATAGATGTCCGATTCTCCACCTTGGCCGATACGCACACAAAATTTCACGAAAATTGGTCGAGCCGTTTCGGAGGAGTTCAATTACAAACACCATGACACGAGAATTTTATACAGGGTGGCTTTTCTAACTGTATCCATTTTTTTAATTAAATTCTAGACATAAATAATGTTATATAAAAATGATAAATATTTAAAATCACTCGTAAGTAATTAATTACATTCATTTGAACTTATCTCAAAAAGTGCGTGATTTATACGCAACTCATTTATTTTCACAAGTTCGTGCACAGTAAAATTTAGGTATTTATGAATGACTTACCGCATTGTCAACACGTTCTGTTTTTTAGGGAATAGAATGGCATTTTTTTTGGAAAAAAACTTTGTTTTTTATTTCAATAAACGATTATACTACCGAGTCTGAACCTCCTGTGTAAATTTGGATACTTCTCAAAAAATCTCCCTGTATATTACATATTTATATATTAGATTTATATACGCCGCGCAGTATGGTCATGCATTTAATATCTTTTTCACAAACAAAGAGTACTAACTAGCATAGGTGAGAATTTTTTTTAGTTATTGGAAATATAACACGATTATCAATAATAATATAACACGAACGGAATTTCGTTCCAACCGAGTATTGCACGACACTCGCATATCTTTTTTTATGTTAGACTAGCGAGTCGCCCCGACTTCGCGCGAGGGCAATGTATTATGCCATATAAACCTTCCGCTTGAATCACTCTAAAGAAAACCGTATCAAGATCCGTTGCGTAGTTTTTGAGATCTAAGCATACATAGAGACAGACAGATAGCGGGTCGACTTTATTTTATACTATGTACTACTACTACTACTACGTGTGAAGGTGGAAAGCGAGCTGGCGATTCACCTGATGTTAAGTAATAACCGCCGCCCATCTCCATTAGCAACACCCGTTGGGTTGCAGATGCGTTGTCATTTTTCAATAAAGTGTAATACTTCCACTTGACGGCGGTCTTCTGTGAGGTCGTGGTACTTCCCCGGAAGATTCTTCCCAGCATCCCACCCATTCATGCAACAGCAGAGTGTTGCTGCGGGGCCCAACCACAGTAATTTGAAAAATTAAAATAATAATAGTTTTTTTAATAACACAGAATTTTCCTCGGATGTGGTAGTAGTAGATAATTAATACTACTTCGAGTGAAATTCTGTTTATACTTTTATAAATAAATCCTTATTCCATCTACTATTCCGCTACTGGAAAAATATTAAGTGATGTACATAGTGTTTTCCAAATGTGTCTGGGTGTTTACATATTTGTAATATGTATCAGAAAAAGAAAAGTTTGTTTAAGTATGTTTATCAGTTATCTAGTACACTTGGGCTACAAGCAACAACTAGAAAACGTTGTGTGAAAAATGTGAAAAAACAATTATAATGATTGGCGACTGAACAGGATATTGTGTGGAAAATCAAAATTCGCAGTTCTAAAATATCTAGGCAGTTCAATAAATATCTAGGTAGGGGCGGGTCAATATGTGGACTTTATTGTTGATGGGTAATAAATATACCTAGCTAATGGCTATTATTTCATCTGGTCGGCCACCTAACGCTAACCTTACATGTAGTAATTGAAATAGCTAGAATAGAACCGCCAGCGCTTTAGCCAATAACTTGCAACTGCGCCACAGTGAACATTTTTAAACGGTTTTATTTAGCTCGACCCGTACGGAATTTATTTGTTTATTTGGGTCAAAATTAGAAATTGAAATTTAAGCACCTTCCCGTTGTCAGATTGATCTGAAATTTGGTACACACATTTAATTTAGACGACAATACAATATTGTAGTTTTCAGTGCACATAAAATAAAACCGTTTAACTTAAAAGTTTTTAAACGGTTTTATTTATATAAACAATACTGTGTTTATGTAGGCTAGACGCGCCCCAGCGAGTGGATCGACACCTTTTAAACTAGTCGCAAGGACTCAGGCCGAGGAGGATGCTTACAACTACGTCGAGCACAGAGTCGTGGAAAAACCATCGGGGTAAATATCTTAACCCATTTTTATTACTTATATTACGTATATTCTTCTTTGTCGTTCTCTTACTAATAACGTTAGTGACTATATATATAATTGACTATATATAATAGAGACACCATTTGCTTCTGCCCTGCGCCAGTTCAATAAATCGTTGTAGAGTTTCTCCTGTTGCATTTTACTCTATCGTGTTGGAATTCGGCCCCTGCAGCGCTTCCCCTGCATCAACTGCTTCTCCAACTCATGCAGCAATAATATCAATATGTGTAAATGTTTTTATTTTTTATTATGTTATAAAATCGCAAACGAGCTGGCGGTTCACCTGATGTTAAGTGATAATCGCCGCCCATGGACGTTTGCAACACCCGTAGGGTTGCAAATGCGTTGCCGCCTTTAAATAAAGCCCCGGCTACTTCACTCACCAGACGAAACGCAGAAGTATAACTCTATGCCGGTCTTTCTGTGAGGTCGTGGTACTTACCCGGACCGGCCCATTCGTGCAACAGTGTTGCGAGGCGCTACCACCCTACATTGCATTGATTGTACATACGCCTGTATGTAATCAATCAATGGAATTGAATTTTCAACCATCTGCAGTCCTCTTCCTCGACCGGGTCGACGAAGATGTTGAGCGGGCGACGATGGTAAACTATAGCGTTTATCGGGCTCCCTCGATGAATCGCTTGGTTAACTCGTCAATGTGTTCAAGTAGTTTCGGGTGTGCAACTGCAATGTAGGTCTAGTTTACGCTGATACCGCCTAGCACCTGTTGGGATGCAGGTGAATTTATTTTGAATGACCTGAAGTTCTGGGAAGATTAACAAAAACAGGACGCTTTGGGTCATACACCAGAATTGTATAACAAAAATGCCTTAACGGCATTCTACTGGAGGCGTTGTAGATATAATTTGTTTTAGTTTCTTCATCATATTCTATATAGCGATCAACCCTAAACAAGTAAGGGTGAACTATCTAACACAGTCAACCAGAGGCATGGATGTAAAATTAGTGAATTATCATCATCACCATCATCATCATCTTAAGTATCAGTCCCCGCTCAGTACAAGGCCTCCCTCATTTTGTGCCTTTTTTCTGTCTTAGAACGCGTCCAGTCATTCCTGCGATTACAATGTCTTCGACCCATCAGGCAAATGTCTGTTGACGCCGTTCCTTCCTTCTGACGAGGCACTTACACCCGCTATCACCTCGCCTGGCAGCTCAAATCAAAATCAGTCATATTATAAAGATCCTTACTGCGTGTATGAATGACCCCGACATAAAAGTCAGTCTCATACATGCGAATAATTAGTGATGCCACACGCATATTGAAATTGACATAAAAATATATTGTATTGTTTGTATGGTGCTGAATATAAAAAAATGACGTTTTTGAGTTCTCTATAATGACAAAAATATCCAGTTTTTCGGCATGCTTTGGGCATACCCTAAATAAACTTAGTAATATTCAATTATATGTTTAAAAATACCATGTAAACGAAAGTGGACACTAAAAGTTATACCAATCAATACAGGGTAGTGGGATCGGTTGCTCATATAGTGAAAGGCGCTTTGGGCGCGGGGGTACTCTCTGGGCACGTTGCTTACAAGACGGGCGGTGTTGTCGTCGGCATTGTGGTGAATCTGTTATGCGCCATATATATGACCTACTGTCTTTACGTAAGTATCCAATAGTATAATATTGTACTTTTCTTTTGAAACTAATTAATTAAATTAATTCCCTGATACGGCTTGTCCTGTTTGAAAATCGGGCAAAACAGCGAACATCATTTGAAATAGGCCTTTCCCGCTTGTTTCCGCTGTCTTTACGTAAGTATCCAATAGCATAATATTGTACTTTTCTTTTGAAACTAATTAATTAAATTAATTCCCTGATACGGCTTGTCCTGTTTAAAAATGGGCAAAACAGCGAACATCTTTTGAAATAGGCCTTTCCCGTTTATTTCCGCGAGAGCTGGTTATGATGTGCAAGTATCTGGAATCCGAATCTGCAAGAGCTAGTTATGTGGGATCTTGAATCCGAAATGTATGCGACGTTTCAGTCTCCAGACAACCATGTTTTTGACAGTCAAAATGCTGAAGTAATATGCTTTATATTAGTCTATTATAGCATCCTCGACATAGAGAGTTGGTTTGTGCGCTCACGCTCCTAACAAGTTCTGTTTTCTTAGTTTTTGAAATATAAAGATATAGGTAGGTATTTCTTCGTCTGTGATTGTTATTTGTGATTGTTGCGGAAGAGCTTTTTTTGATTGAATGGTGCTCTAGTGTTCTGCGAGAATGCAGTTTGTTAAAACTTGGTACGAGTATAAACATTGTGTATTTATGAAATTTTTAGATCTTGGTGAAGGCAGCTCAGGTGCTGTATAGGAGATGTAGAGTGCCAACGATGACTTATCCGGACGTGGGTGAGGCGGCCTGTGCCGTTTCTACTAGTCCAAAGGTTACAAAGTTTGCAAAGACCTTCAGGTAAAAAAATTCTTACTGTATGTTTTTAAGAAGTAAATTTGATAAATCATACTTATCACACACTTATGTGTGCACAATGAGCAAATCGTGACTTATCATATTGACCATTGAAGTGGATAGGAAAGTGAATGTTGAAAATGTGATCGAATCTTTTAGCTAAATTAAGTGTAGGAAGCATGTTTAGCGTTTGCTGTTTTATTTTTGGATGCTCAATAGAAAATCCAACAGGTGGCAGTATAGCTTATGCCACAACTGCAACAGCAATCAAACTTTAAGAAAGGATACGAGGTCTGGTGGATAATATAAGAAAGTTTCTGTATTCGAATTCCGAAGCATGAAAAGTGTATTTTCAAGTATATAACGGATATATAGTTGATCTTATGCCACTACTGCAACAGTAATCAAACTTTTAGAAAGGAGAAGAGCTCTGGTAGATAATATAAGAAAGGTTCTGTATTCGAATTTCGAAGCATGAAGTGTAATTTCAAGCATATAAAGGATATATAGTTGATCGGATGAGTGTTTTCAGGTACATCATTGACGTATTGATTTGTATTGATCTTTTCGGATCGTGTGCTGCTTATCAAATCATTATAGCAAAGTCGATTAAGCAGCTCGTCGAGAACGTCCCGAAGACGTCTTTCGAGGGGGCGAATGGTGAGTGCCAAATATACTGGACATATAACACAAACATTGTGACGACCCGAATGGCGTAGAGGGTAGTGTACCTGCCTCCAGCGCCAGAGGGAGCGGCCCTTGTGAAGATGCCCGGGTCATGAGGGATAATCCTCGACACCCGCATCTGCATGCCCCTCAAAAGGCAATGTAGAAGACCCCGACGACGACGTCAGAGGGTGTGGATTCGATCCCCACTACCGGAAAAATATTGTGTGATGAACATAGTGTTTTTCTAGTGACCCAGACACGGTTTATATATATTTACAAAAGAAAAGTATGTTTAAAGTATGTTTATCAGCTATCTAGTACCCATAGTACAAGCATTGCTTAGTTTGGGACTAGAGAACGTTGTGTAAAAATGTGTCCTATATATTTATTTATTTATTTATTTTTTACTTTGATTTATTTATTTATTTATTGTGAGCAATTATGTGCCATGTTATTCTTCGGAGAGAAAATGTACTTTATATCGGTCACTTTTCATGTTTAGAGATCTGCGACTCGAGAAATGAGTAATACTCATTTCCCAACTCTTTTTAAAGTGTTTTGAAGATTTTGTTATTGTATCAATCTCTTTTAGTTTTCACGTAAGTTTTATAATCAGTGCCGCATTTGCCAAGCTTTTGGTTATGTACTCGTAACTTGGGCCTTTTTCTACACGGGACAAATATTTATATGTTACACGAATAATTGTTTCGAATCTGGAGTTTTAGCGTACGTCAAAAACCTAGCCAATATCATTAATAACATGGTTCTCACGTTGTGCGGACCACACCTAGCTGGGATGTTTGCGTATGGGTTTGTATGAGATGTCTCAGTGTCCGAGTGCTTATGGATACGCGGGCGCGTGTTTGCGTGTGCGTCTGTGTGACATACGAGTATCTCACTGTCCAGGTGCTCGCTTTTATTCACTATACTCGACCAACCTGAGTTCAAATCCCGGTGCCGGCACAAATGAAATTGTCAATTTTAAGTGCTGAATTATCACCTGTTCAGCGGTGAAGGATAGCGTCGTAAGGAAACACATATTTTCGAAATTAAAAAAAATTATTTCCAAGATATGTGAAGTCTGCCAAACCGCAGTAAGGTCGCGTGATGGTCTAGTTCCCGATACCCTCTGTCCATTTGAGGCCTTTGCCCAGCGGTGGGCCTTGTATAAGCTGTTACTTTTCTGTGTATGATGTATACAATCAACATGCTGTCGTCTGCGACGATTGCATGTGAATCGTCGAAATGTGCCCACTTTCGTTTCTTAATAAACTCATTATTTCTCAGGGCTTCCAGGCTTGCGGGTCTATTTGGCGTGTATGATAGTACCGTTGATGTTAATTTGTTTAATTAGGCATTTGAAATGGCTTGCGCCTCTATCAATTGTTGCCAACCTGGTTGTGTGTAAGTATTAGTTAATTAAAACTAGTCTAATAATATTTCACTTTTACCGTTTTTGATGTACTATTTAGAAAAATAAAACGATTTATTTAACTAAGGGTATAGTTTTGTTTTTATAGCAATAAGTTGAATTACAATTCGAAAAATTATAGTTTCTATGAAAAAAATGATTCTTAAAAGCTTTTTACCACTTCATTAGATTTAATTTTTGCCTTGTGAAAATAATCAAAATCAGATGTTTCATTTTCAGTTATGAGCCATGATTTCCCAAAAATTAAAAAAAATATCAGGAGTCGTAGAAAAATATTTTTTAATTTTCATGATTTAAAATTCTATGTTTTCAATTATGTGTTTTCATTGAAAGCATGTTTTTCTATAATTGCCACTTTAAAATGTAATAAAAATAACGGTCCGTACGGTGAACATTATTTTTATTACTTATATTCACTATTATATACATAAATATGACCATGTGCCCTCATACCGCCTTAACCACACAATACTCCTTAATTCCATTCTCATATCTCAATGAAACGAGTGTCCTCTACTTCATTGTCCCCCCTACAAGTATGCTTCGTTAGGTTTTCTATTCCTGTCCAAACTATTCTTCTTTGTGACGCGCTTTCATTCGATATAAGGAGAACTAATCATCGTTAAGCGTATGGAGCGGAGCTGGTTCGGGAAGATGCTGGCGGTGACTCATTAGTATATTATAATGAATTTTGTAGTATATTATAATGTATCATTATAATGAATTTTTTTCAGTGTTGTGTCTCTTCGTAGCGATATACTATGCCTTCGAGTACAATCCGTCCTTCACGGGCATGGTTCCGTACACAACGCCTTACGAGATAGTTCAATTTATCGGTATGAGCGTCTTCAGTATGTCCTGCGTATGTGTTGTGATACCGATAGAGAATAATATGAAGGATCCGAAGAAATACGGCCTTACACTGACCACCGGTAAGTGGCGCTGACAATGATCGTTGGGTGATAATTAAGGGGAATTTGTGCCAAAATGAGTATTTTGATATAACGCATATCACACGGTACGGTCAGTTTATGACAATTAAAAAAGGTTAAATTTAACCTTTTTTCTTGCTCATTTGAGAAGTATTATTTAACGAGGATTTCAATTAGTGTTCTCACCAATTCTCCTCATTAACTCCTCATTGAATACCAAGAATGGTATCGTAGGTAAATTAGATTCTTTGACTATCTTATTTAATTGTAAATATTAATACTAGTCTCAAACTGCACTCAAAATAAAAACTTGAAATGTGAATTTTCAAACGAAGTCAAAAAGATTACGTGTATGGTCGTATTATTTTTGTTTATTGCCTCGTAGCTCCATAATTATTATGAGCCGATATTAAAAATTCTAATTGCATTCAAAAAGTATTCTGTTTGTTTATATACTTTATCATATTACAAACCTCAAAAATTGTAGTAGCTTTCTGCTATGTATAAGAAAACTATAACCAAAATAAAAGGAATTATAATTAGAATCGGCCGTCCCGAACAATTATAATTTTGCAGATGTCATGTTCTACGCAGGGTACGAAATGTTGTCAGAAAGGGTAGATAATAATTAAGACTTTCCTACAATAAAATCAAATTCCTTCTATTTTACCACATAACGTTATTCTACGCAAGGTGCGAAGTTATCATAGGAAGAAATAAAGTACATTGAAAATAAACGCACAAGATTAAGCTCTAAATGAGAATGGCCTTTACTTAAGATTGGTGTTAAATCGTGTTTGGTTTTTGTGTTCTCTATTTAAAATCAGGATTAAAAAGTATAAGGATTAAAACGTTTAAACTGTGGTAGGGCCACGCAACAGTGTTCACTGTTGCACGAATGGGCACGTCCGTCCGGGTAAGCACCACGACCTCACAGAAGACAGGCGTAAAGTACAAGTGTTGCACTTCTGCGTTTCGTCTGGTGAGTGGGGTAGCCGCGGCCCACTTTATTTAAAGTTGGCAACGCATTTGAGACCCTACGGGCGTTGCAAATATCCATGGGCGGCGGTTATCACGTAACATCAGGCGAAGCGCCGGCTCGTTTGCCACTTTTTCACATAAAAAAATAACGTTTTAAATATTTTCAGGAATGTTGTTAATTTTCACGGGTGTATCTTCTATCTCGTTCTTCGGCTATGCTGGCTTCTTGGAGGAAAGCGAATCACCTATCACTGTTAACTTTCCACTTAACACGTGCGTAATTTTTTTCAACCTTTGACATTCCAGCGAATTGTGCGTGTATCAATATTTGAAGATAAGCCTTAACAGTGGTAGGGCCGCGCGTCAGTTCGCTGATGCACGAATGGGCAGGTCCGTCCGGAGAAGTACCACGACCTCACAGAAGGCCGGCGTAAAATAGAAGTGTTATGCTTCTACGTTTCTTCTGGTGAGTGAGGTAGCCGGGGCCCATTTCATTCAAAGGTGGCAACGCCTTTGCAACCTTATGGGTGTTGCGAATGTCCGTCTGTCCATCCAATGGGCGGCGGTTATCACTTACCATCAGGTGAACCGTCAGCTCGCTTGCCATCTTATCACATAAAAAAAGATAAACCTAGAATACGTATAACGATCATTATTTGAGATAACACCAGGCATAGTATGAGGCATGAAGTACATACATACACCTTGTGAAAACTCAGTGAATTTTCACTAGATTCAACAATTACGACCTACACAATTGTTACTGTTGAGTGAAGACTTACAAGCTTAGTCCGGGGTACTTCATAGACCTGCATGAATTCAGAATGACTCGTATTTTGTTGGATGTGTCTCATTCATGCAGGTTTCATTGTGTTTGTCCAACGTTTGTACGTTAATAAATTCAGTTTTTACCTCTGCGCCATTTGTAATGTAAGTTTTTATAGCGTGTTAATTGTCGCCCAAGTATTATATCAAAAAATGTAAAATGAACAACTCTGTGATTAAAGGATTACAGTGGTCGGATTACAGTCCTAAATATGCTTCATGGCCAGTTAGATAATAAGTACTTGTAGAAACACCATATAAGAGATTCATTAAATTTTCTCATCTTTTTTCCTTTGCAGGACGGGAAAGATACTAAAAGCATGCATCGCCGTCATGATATACGTAACGCACGCTCTCAACTTTTGGGTGCCGTTCAACACTGTATTTGTCTACCTGCAGAAAAGACACAACCCACAGAAGATACTGCTGTGGGAGATGTTTTACAGAGTTTTGTTCGTTTTTATCATCGCTGTGACTGCGATCACATTCCCAACAATAACGGCTCTGATCGGTTTTGTGAGTATTTAAAAAGCGTACCTTTATTCTGTGCCCATTTCTGACATCTTGAACATTTTTAAATACATGTTATTTTTTCTCAGACTCGCATTGCGGATAATTTGAGAGAACTTAAAGAATTATGTCTGTAATTATGCTATTTATAGATGTTTGAGAATTCTCAACGAATTTTTCCCCACTGTTCTTTACGTATCTCCTTCGGTCTAGTTCAGTTTGTAAATTCGGTGACTTTTTGAACGAAATTTATTTATCTAAAGAAGCCTTCTAGAAGAATATAATAATATCATACAATAATAAATCTTTATATACTAAATACTATACCTTGGCTGTCCGTCTGCTCATAGGATTATTAGATCCTTTGGTACAGAGAGTACATTAAGCACTGTTTCATTTTTAAGACAGCTATTGAGAACATGCCCGATTTTTAATTATCTAAAGAATTAGGATGCTAATTGCGTAGACAATTTCGCATCTCTTCGTTTAGCGCCGTGGGCAACGGAAGTAATTGACGCAAATATATGCCATGCTTTGTGTAGATTATGTACTTGTCATTTCCTTTGTAAGAATTATTTCCTCGATTTAAAGTTACGGCTGGTGATAAGAGGACTGGTTTTTCTTTTCTCGGTCTAAGATTAAGCATAAATATTCAGCGAAGAAATGCAGCTATTATTGTTTTCCTAGATTACCGCTGCCTATGGCCATATGCAACTCCAGTGTGGTTGAAGATGCGTTAACAACCTTTAAAACGTTTGCCCCTTTTTCCTCCCTCATCTGACGAAACGCCAAAGTAGATATTACACTCTATTGTCGCGTTGATTTACTGTGAGGCCGTGGTGAATCCCCGGGTCAGCCTGCCCATTGGTGCATTAGTAGAAGCTACTGCGTGCCCGATAACATTATCCTGTGTTGTAAGGATGTTTTACAAACATAAATTTCATGCGGTCAAATACCCAGATGCGAAACAATTATATGTGGCTCACACAAATATTTTTCCCGTGCGGGAATCGAACCCACAATCCCCGACACCGAAACGAATACCTTGGCAACTTATAAATATATTACGTGTATTATCGGGGAGCCAATTTTTAAGTTGGATATGTCGATTCATATTTGTTGAGACACATTTCGATCTGACGCGCAATGTTTCTGCCTGCAGCTTGGCGCGTTCTGCTTAACTAACCTCGGCTTCATATTTCCGAATATCATCCACCTGCTGGTAATTTGGGAGAGGCCCGGTTTGGGCCCATACAAATGGCGCTTATGGCTCGCGTTGGCAATGATTGTCGTCGGGTCCTTTCTCGGCATCTGTGGCACGGCGGTCAGCCTGGTTGAACTGCTAAAGGTCGCATTCAGTGCCGGTCAACGATCTGATCTTTGAGAGAGGAATTTTCAAATTCTCCAATCGACGCCCATTACTCCAATGATCACAGAGCATACTTCGAGTACGAGCCTTCGCACGTAAAACTGCTTCGTAAAATGCATTACGAGAATATAATATACAATAGACACAATTCTTTACATAGTCGATAGTGGTAAATTTATTTTTAATTGTTTTAAAAAGGGCTACTGCTCCATATTATATTTACTATTATAGTTAGTGCCATGGGAAGCCGGATTAAATCGTTTATGTCTTTGAAAAAACTTGTGGATTAATTACTTGAACAGAATTCATTGTTAAATAAATGCAGAATGTATTGTAATGTTTGTAAAGTGCTTATGGTTCACTCGATGTGTATTTACTATAATATTTTGTTTTCGTTTTGTTTTAACTTTTATTTCCGTTATGTTTTATATTTAAAGTTTTTAGAATATTTTTGTTTTTAATTTTTTTTAATTTGTTGTGAAGTAAAAGTGAAAAATATCTAAGCGATTTTCAGTTTATTCAATTTCCTTTATAAATATTGTATATTTATATAGTAATATATTTTGTAGGTTATGTTTAATAATGTTTTGCCGCATTTAGTGGTGTTGCTATAAATTTATAAAATATCTGAATATACATAGGTATATGATTTTTTATATGGTGTGTCTTAGTAAGATATTTTTTTCAATATGATTTAGGGTACTTATTTATTTTTAATCTGATAATTGAAATTCGCAAATTATCATGTAGAGACTTACTACACCCGAGCAGCGTTTACAAATTTTAGAGATTTATTTTAAAAAAAAAAGTTGGTAAAAGTCTATAGAGCACTTGGAAACATTTTTGAAGTTATAATTCTTTTCGCTCGTTTGGAAAAATTACGAGGGTAGCATTTTTACGATGCGTGCGCACACCGACCTTTAAAAAGCGGCATGATGCTTGGTAACCAATAACAAGAACAAGAGTAGTAGAACCATGGTAACCGACACAGCTCAGAGGATTAGTAAGCTGAAGTGGCGATGGGTCGGCCATGTAGCTCGTAGAACCGATAACCGTTGGGGAAGAAAGGTTCAACTTTTAGCGAACTCAACATTTTAGGAATTCAACATTATGGGACCAGTAAATTCAACTTTTTACTACTTCAACATTTTGGGAATCAACATTTTGCGAATTCAACATTTTAGGAATTCAACATTTTGCAAATTCAACATTGTGGTCCTAAAGGAGGTTCTCGAGTGGCAGCCTCGTACTGGCTATCGCGGTGTAGGACGACCCCCTACTAGATGGAATGACAACCAGTCTACCAGTCGATTAGTGGCAGTCTATGGGGGAGGCCTATGTTCAATAGTGGATTCAAGCAGGCTGAAATGATGATGATGATGATGAATCAATAACTTTTTGACATTTATCTTGGAAGACTTTCGGTTTCTACAGGATGGTGGCGCATGCCGCACGGCACGCGAATCCATGGAATTACAGAAGAAAATGTAAAACGTAAAGGCCTCCGAGATCGTGAGATTTTAGGCTGATCGGTTATTTTCAGGGAGGTTATTTAAGATAGATAATCTGACTATAATTTATAAAGATATTGTGTGAATTGTCCAAAATGTAGGTAATGATAAGTGTCAATTAAGTAGGAAAAAATTCAGCTATCTGCGAGATATTCTGGTGTAAAATACAAAACTCATTGTTAATTCCCTTTGGCCGCGCGGGCGAAGCTGCGGTTAACAGCTAGTAAGCAATAAGTGAAGAACTAAAATTACATCATTATATCACTTGTTGACGCACTCTCTTATTGTATTTTTAAAAATAATCGAACTAAATTACAACAATTTTTTGTTTTATATATTTGATATTAGGCCTTTAAGGTTGGAGTAAGTGCCCGCTACGAATAACAATACGCCTACGAGCATAACTAAAACATTCTTCCACAAACGCCACTTGAATTTTCCAAGGCCCGGTTCTTCCCAAATCACGAGAAGTTCTATCATTGCTGGGAATATGAATCCCATATTGGACAGACAGAATGCACCCAGCTGTAAAATATAGGTAGGTTATTTTATATAAAGTTAACGTTGTATATGTACGTGTATGTGATAATAGCAGCGTTGAATTAATATAAGCATCTAAATCGGAAATGGAATGGTTCATGAATATGGTTGCTGAATTTACTTTTGCAACAATATGTTGAGGGTCTTACACGAAGGACGTTCGAAATTTAAAAAGTTATAGTGGTTATTTTTTTAAAGAAACATCTATATAAGGTCTAAGATCTGTCAAATGTGTTATGGATTATTCAACAGTCCATGGTGAATAACCGTGGATTGTTGTAGTAACATGTGAGAATATTAAAATATTGTTTTCAGACATTTTACCATTTGCGAAATGTTCCATTTGTTACTACAATTTATCTTAGCCACACACTTCCCGCCGAGCAGAATATTTAAAGCAACACCTTTTTACATCACTGAACTGAAAAATTCTGTTGAAAATATAGCACGTGATAACGGGAAAATACGAAATGGCCGAAACTTGAACTTAGTGAATTTTGTCTCGAGAATTTGGTCAGCATCTATCTATACAATATCTGATTGACCCAGAAAATTATGGTAGACCACCATAGGAAATTGGACTAGAAAAAGTAGGGACGGTATTTTGAATGACATTTAAAAATGACGTAGAATTGTGTTAGATGTTTCTTTGAGTTACTCGTAACTTACCAATCCCATTAAATTACCAATATTAGGAAATGCTACAGCAATTGAAGTGATGGCGACTATGAATATGGCCCTGTAGATCCTTTCCCAGAGCCAGTGCCTTTTTGGGTCGTGTTTCTTCGAAACGTAATGCCACACAAGGTTGAAAGGCGCCCAGAAGTTTAAGGCAAAGGTAATGAAAATCATAACTGCCATAAGACATTTCAGGATTGTGGGGAAGCTGTAAAAAGAAAAAAATATCATTACTACGATAGAAGCTTAGGAACTTTTATTACTTCCACCTTCTATACAAAAAGTTTTGGTTACTTTTAAATTTTATTTGTTCCGTGTGTTGCAACCAATTCCGAATCAATCTACACTTTAACTCGGACATCTATATTATTATTGATTGATTTGATTGATCGATGTTAGCGTGTCTGTCTTTGAAACTGTATACCTTTTAGCAGAATGGTTTTAGTGAATTAAAGCAATTCATCTAGTAAACATTGGTATTAGAAGTTAGGTATATCAAAATATTAAATGGTGTGCTGTTGAATAAGTAGATAATTTTAAGTGCTAAATTTGCGAATATCTTATAATGAGGAAACAGTAACCAGCAGAGCGTGTTGGTCACAGCAATGAACATTTAGGAAAGGTTTTCTTGAATTGAATGAAAGCTTAATTGAATGTATTGTATGACAATATACCTTTTCGTATCTTACTTACGTTTCGGATGGTAAATTTAAAGTCACAGGTGATATCGAATTCTCTCCGAAGCCCCAGTAACCAAAAAATCCCACCAGAATAAGGAAGGAAACTACCACGCTCATGCCTGGAAATAATAGCTTGTTTAAAGTTATTCTTTACAAACTAACAAACGGGATTTCGGTCAACATTTTATTATCATTTAATGCAATGATTTTTTCAATCCTATGTAGAGCCTGCTAAATCACTTAACAGATTGAATGGAAGAGGGAAATTGCATGCATAACTACGCTACCGTTTTGTAAGACAAGGGATTGTTACTTCCCCAGATGAGACTACCCAACCAGTTGAGAAGCATTTGAAGCTGTTGAGTGGCCAGGAACATTGAAATTGATAATGATGATTTCCACTGCCCTGTGGAAATTAAGTTTTATAATTATATATATAATTTACAATAGGCAAGACTAGGTACGTAGTTTCTGCATCGGTTTTCATTTAGCAAGGCCAAATTTGACCAATAGTGTAGTAATTCTGTTTTATTAGCCTTCAAATTTCTCCTCAATAAAACTATTACTACTAATAACTGTCTGAAATAGTTGACCATTAACGCGATTTAAGTCATCCTCAATAAGTGTTCAAAACGTTGGCAACTTTTGAAACATTTTAGTTGTTTTATACAAATGTATTTAGGCAAAACTATTACCTAGACAAAGTACTTTAGGAAATTGTTTCGGATCTTTCATGTTGTTTTCAATGGGCAAGGATACTCCAATTCCTTCCATACTAAATACTACGATGCCACAAAATTCGAAGAATCCCAATCCGTCCTTCCAAGCGGGCACCGTTGAAATCTCAGGCGCAACTCTAAGGCTATATACCACTGTAGCTATCACGCATGCCACTGTAATTGGGAAAAAGTATTTAATTTATATTCCATATTATTCGGAAGTTGTACAGCATAGTAAAAACTTTTAACAAAACAAGAAATAAGCAAAAATATAGTGCCATTTAAGATTTTTTTAAAGTAATGAAAAAGCCCTTGACTTATAAAACTGCCGCTTGAAATTTTTGACATTTAGGTTAAGTAGCTTGTTCATGCAATAATTTGTAAATCTGGTGAGGTCTATAGGTACATTGTTGATTGGATTAAAATTATGTGTCGTCAGCGTACATAAGAAATTATTGCAAGAACTTTAAAACTTTATGAATTATATTATTACTTTCTCTATCATGCAAATAGATCTTAAAGCTTTGGTAGGACTACGCAACATTCAAGTACCACGACCTCATAGAAGCCCAGCGTGAAGTGGGGTGTTACACTTTCGTCTGATTTGGGAAGTAATCAGGGCCCGTTTTATCAAAATGTAGATACGCAGCTACAACTACGGGTGGTGCAAATGTCTATAGCCGGCAGTTATCACTTAATATTTCTTGCTCTCTTCTTTTATGTAAAAAAGTGGGGAAACCTAATAACATGTAAATTTTCTAGAAGAAATTGAAGCATTATTCGAGCCAGTAACGATCAATGTTAACACATTATGACCTGTTTCTGAAATAAGAAGTGAGCCACTTCAAAACATGCCAAGTATACCAATTTTTTTTAAGTTGAACATCACACTTTATTCTATCGTAGCATTTGGCAAAGTGAGTATATACGACATCTGCCTGAACACAGTTATAAGTTTGATACTTGATAAAGTCCGTTAAAGTGCATAAATTTGTGACTGATCTTTGGCATTTCTGTTCTGTTCTTTAGAATTGAAAGTGGATACATGTGAGACAATAGTTCCGTAAACAAGCTTTATAATAATGTCCTGAAGGTAAATAACACTGATACACTTTTTCACGGTGGTAGGGCCACGCAGCAGACTCGGCTGTTGTACGAATGGTCCGGCTCGTCCGGGTAAGGACCACGACCTCACAGAAGACCGGCGTAAAGTGGAAGTATAATTTCGTAAGTAATAATTTTGCGTTTCGTCTGGTGAGTGAGGTGGCCGGAGCCCAATTTTCAAAAGATTGTCAACGCATTTGCAACCCTCGTGTGTAGCACATGTCCATGGGCGGCGATATTCACTTAACATCAGGTGAACCGTCTCCTCGCTTGTCAACTTTTCACATAAAATAAAAACAGGTATGTAATTTTGGATATCAAAAAGAACTACAACTGATGTCACTCGTGAAATATTTGTTGTTTTGGTTTATCGACACTCATCACTATTATGCCGAAATGAAGAACAAGATCAGGCAAAAGTCAGTTGCAACTAAGCTTTTCAATATTAGACAAAGCATCGAAGTTAGAATCAACACTGTTTATTTGATTTCTTTATTTACTGTTAGCTTGATAAACCTTTTTAAATAAAAGAGCACAAATTTCAATGCAGTGAGCAGCACACTTCGGAGAGGGAAATGCGCAGTACTTTTTATGATTTACCGTACTTATCAACTGTGATAACGCTAAACGTGTCAAGCCTGTCTCGTGCACTAGGAAAAGTGAAATGGAACGAAAAAAAGAACCGACTATTTCTCCAATAAACGTAAAACTTATATAGACGAGAAAAAAAGCAAAAAGCATAAGGTTGTTTAGTATTTTCTATTTCAATGACCAATAGGTGAGTAACCATCGTCAGTAATGGCTGAGCCTTCAGCAAGCCTCCGATTACCGCAACCAACGAAGAAAACGGAAAAGTATAGATACTTCTACATATCGCTGAGCTTTTAGGTTATACTGAATAGCATTAAGATTAGTAATAAATTGCTCACCAATAAACAAATCTGCCAAAAGCGTGAACGGTGCAAGATACTTTAGTGTAGTTATCATGCAGAGCAGAAGTATGGGCACCAAAAGAGCTAACACGTAGAGTCTCAGGCGATCGATATCCCAAGACATTTCGTCGTTGTTCTCGATCAGCTGCTGAATGGTTTTTGCTATGATGATCTGATAAACGCAACACGCTCCGAACAGGTCTATGCATATCACTGCGTCTACAGCGTACCTAGAACACACGATATACGGTGGTAGGGCCACGCAGCAGGCTCGGCTGTTGCACGAATGGGCAGGCTAGTCCGGGTAGGTACCACGACCTTACAGAAGACCGGCGTAAAGTGGAAGTATAATAGTTTCGCGTTTCGTCTGGTGAGTGAGGTGGCCGGAGCCCAATTTTCATCAGGTTGTCAACCCATCTGGAACCCGCGAGTGTAGCAGATGTCCATGGGCGGCGATATTCACTTAACATCAGGTGAACCGTCTGCTCGATTGGCAACTTTTCACATAAAAAAAATATATGTATCATATATATTAGATTGGTATTATAATACGTATTACGGGGGTAGGGCCACGTAGAGGCTTCTGCTGTTGCATAAACATGTCCGGCAAATAAAAAAAATGAAGAAATATTCCCGGAGCCATATTTATACTCCGTTCTGTTGCCCAAACTAAGAAAAATGTACTGTGTTACTAGATAACTGATCAAAATACTTTTCTTTTGTTTCAGAGGTTGGGAAAAGTATTACGGAATCATTGAAGACCGGCACGAAGTAAAAGAATAGTAATTTTGCGCGTTGTCTGGTGAGTGAACTAACTGGAGCCCATGATTTTAAGGCAATGTATTCGCAAGCCCTCAGGTGGTATATCTATGGGTGACGGTAATCGCTTTACATCGGGTAACAGATTGTAATTAAAAGGGTATTCATATGAAAGTAAGTCAAATTAAATTTCACTTTATTTTTATTTACTGAAATAATTATTACTTAATATGGAAGCAATTAAGTATGTGTATATAATTCCAAGTACACATAAAAATATAATAAAAATATTGCGGTACAGTAAGGCAAAGGTTACATGAACTACAGAGTTTTTAGGTTTATTTATTAATCTTATCTTTATTTATTAATTTCGATTAACAAACGAACAACATTATTATTATTACAACCACCCATTTGCATGATAAAGAAACTGAATCTTTATTTAAGATCTTCCCTCGAACTTTACTCGAGCTGAGCGATTAAATAATGGTATATTTACGAGCTAGCTTATTTTACCTGAACCATTTACTGTATTTCCTTAATCTAGGGAATGGCCCAATTTCTAAGGACGCCTCGGCGACATCAGGATAAGACATTTCTGGTAAATGTAGCCTCTTGTATAAAGTTTGAGCCGATTTCACTAAAATCTGGAACAAAAAATGCCATTACTACAATCCGAAATAATGAATATACATAGAAATGAGTTTTCAACGACATTTATTATAGTCAAAGACCTATTCACACTTCATTATATGTGTAATAAAGTGGGCAGTAGTCAGTAAAATATCTCACTTTTGGGTCACTCAATTCGCCAATGCTAATTTAGAACAGCGACGCTCTCCTTTGTCGGTTATCAAATTGACGATACGAAATGAATGTAACTTTGGAAAAAGACATACATTTTCAATTCTTTTATTATGATTAATTTGACAAGTTTAACGTGCTTACAAACTAAATATGAGAACAAACGGAATTTTTACTTTGTGAACTTTGAATAATTCCACAGAGTCAATAATTCTCAAAATTTCTCCGATCCGCATAAAACATTGACGATAATGATGGCAAAATTTATTTCTATTCATCTCGGTTTGGAACTTTTGTATACCAAATTGCAAATATTAGCCTGTGTTTCATTCTTAGAAAAGGAAGTTCTGTTTTCATTATAATAAAGTAATGTATCAGCCTATAAATATCCCACTGCTGCGCAAAGGTCTCCTCTTTACAGAGGGTATTAGGGCATAGTCCACCACGCGGCCCCACTGTGGATTGGTGGACTCACACATCTTCGAAATATTTTTTTTTATTATTTCGAAAATATTCAGGTTTCCTCACGATGTTTTCCTTCGCCGCTGATGCACGTGATAATTCAGCACTTAAAATTAACAATATCATTGGTGCCGGCACCGGGGATCGAACTCAGGTTGCTCGAGTATATTGAATTAAAGGCGAGCGCCCGAAGACTGAGCTATCACGGCACATTATAATAATACTCAAAATAAATTGTTTGAGTATGAAAAATCATGAATAGTTTGTTTGTTATCAGTTTCTCATAAAAATACAATCCATGAAGGAAAAAGACAGATAAAGAGACATTTTTTTTTATTAATGAAAGTAATACGGTTATTAGGAATGTTGTTTACATGCTTAATTAGGGATCAAAGCATCTGCTATGTCCAAAACATGTGTTATGACCAATATTCAGCGCAGAAAGAACATTTCACTACTTGGTGTATTAAATCAGTTTTCAAAATCAGATGTAAACACCGTCTCGCTCTTTTAGACCGCCATAGAAGAATAATGGTATTTATAGAAAGCTTACGTGCACGCAGTACGTGATGTAGAAGCCGAAAATTATTGTGACGAACAACGAAGTCCATAGGCCGCACTTCATATATGCTTCGTGGATGCCAAGTATGCCTCCGCCAAGGCAGCCTTTTATTAGGTGTCCCGCTGATTCGATGGTGCTGAAATTCCAAATAAACCGATTGATTGATTTTCGATTTCAAGCGAACATGAATCAAAATCAAACCATCTCACTCTCATTCTTCTAAAATTGACCAAACAAAATCTAACACTAGTCAATGACTGCTGCCAAATAATTTCAATTGCAACTTGGTCAAATTTTTCTGCTACTGAGCTATAAGCAATTTCGGAAAATAAGCCTCTAACCAATTAATTCTTAAAACTTCACAAAGTAAACCTTTTACTAAATATTTATTATTTATTCATAATCATAAATTTTATAGCAGTTCAGTAAGAAGCTATTTTTTGTTTCAATTTAGTGTTGTTTTATCTTAAATAATAAATAATCAACGCCTTTTAATTAAAACATTCCGTACATATATAATAGTTTTATCTAAGTTTAAAGAACAGAGATTATCATCATTATAATTTGCCGATCATTAAAGGTGATTAAAGGTGAGTGTGGACGTTAAAGGGCTTATTTCGACATCTAGTATTACATTTTCCGTTAGCTTCAGAACTTACTTGGTAGGTTTAGCATTACACCTGTGCGCCACAAAATCGTAAGGTTCTTTCTGTGAGTGGAGAATAAATTTTGGGTTACCATTGGTTATCGGTGGTGGTTGCGGAGGTGGTTTCGGTGAGGCATCGCGAGCGTCTTGACGCGTATGTGTGTGGTTTACCTAAAATACGAGTAAAAATGTTATTTTATTAATGTATCTTTACAACGATGATGGTGTCAAGAGGGTCATGTATAGATAGTGATAGTATGTCGCATTATGTAGGTATTTCCTTTTTTGGTATTATTAATTAGTATTTATGATCTTTTTAGCTTATTGCACCTACCACAATCTCTCTACACGCCCCGGGTTTACTGGGAGAGAATGCCCAATGGCATTGAGTCCGCCTTTTGTAGTCCTTTTTTTAAGGTTTTGCAATAAAGCATAAATAAATAAATAAGTTTCAATAGTATTCAATAGGAAGTCATTAATGACGAACTATGTGATTAAACAACAATATTTCATTTGACGCCATTTAATTATTATATTTTTTTTTAACTGTTAAATGTTATCTTTGGTATCTTTTATGCCGCGTGTTGCGTTCGATGTAGTTTTTTAAAATTTTCCAGTTTGAATTCGATCAAAACAGAATTTCAGGAACAATGACGCATAGTTTGCGCATTCTATCGGATGGTTTTATTTAACTTCACGTGTGGGTTCGTTAGCTGGTTGACATTTGTTAGAAAAAACAGTTCTGAATTTGAATTTTGCTCGAACAATGTCTGATGGAATCGTTGTTATGATGGAAGCAAAAATGTTACTTTGTTATTAGATTCACAGCGCTTCAGTGATTCCCGTTAAAAATAGCTATCAACAATTTCAACTTTCTGTCATTAATTTAAATGGTGCTAAGTTTTAATTAAAAAAGAATCGATCAGTATTTAATAGTCATGGGACATAACCTTTATTTACTCGATACGAAATTTCCTGCTTTTTAACGATAGCGGTACACAAAAACACACTTTTACGTTTATGGTCGAAAATATTTTGAAGGTTGAGACAGTTCCTTTAGAGTTTTTTTTAAATAATTCTGTATATTTCGGGTCGATGGCATAAAAATGTTCTCGCCAACTTTAATAAATAAGTTTCTTCCTATCAATTCCGTTTTGTCGTGACTTTCAAAGTACCTTATATCATTACTTTTAAATCTTTTGGTCAATATGCATAAATTATTCAATTGGAATTAAATCGTTTAGTTTTATGACAAATACAATAAAATAATATTTTGGGTAATCTGGTTGTAATGAATTTTCTAATTAAGTAAGTCATTGGGAAAACAATATTCGCCCCACGACTTGTTGCATGCTTTACGCTTTTCTAAAGACTTAGATTATTTTGAATAAACTGCAGTATAATAATATATTTGTGGCCAGGTGTTAAACACTTTTATTTTAGGCATTAAATCGTAGGATCGATATGTACTTACCGTAATTTTACAATTACCATCTTCCTTAGTGAGAATAAAAAAGAATTAATAAATGAGTTATACGCTATCTTGGAGCAAGATAATAAAACTGGATTGTTGTTTTCCCTGCTAGTAATTGCTTAGCTTAGATATAATTAAAAAATGCGTCATGTAACAGTCTGCAAAATAATTCGTTGATGGGAAATTTTGCTTCTATTACATTCGTTTAATACACTGTGTTTTAACGATATTTTTACCTTCATTAAAACAAGGTAAACGTTTAAATTTAAAAGTCAGTAAACGTGGAACAAGGTTATCCTTACTAATATTATAAACGGGAAAGTTTGTATGTATGGATGGATTTTTGTTACTTCACGCAAATACTACTGAATTGATTTTGACCCTTAATTTGATTCCTTTAATTATTGCAATATGTAAATTGTTTTCTTTTATTATTTTCAAGCATTAAAATCAATCAGAAATGACATAAAATCTGTTGAGTATTTTCAACAAAGTTGGATAATCCGTAAATAAGTTGATTTTTGGTGTGTTAAGTATTCTCAACAAAGTTGAATGGTGCGGGTGTAGTTTTTATTTGTGTGCTAAGTATCTTTGCTAACATTTTGAATGATAAAGACATATTTTGGTATGTTTTGGAGGGTAAAACTGCTTGTGACTGATGGATCTTTTTATTTCTGCAGACTTATTTGCCTTTCTGCAATACTAACTGAAAATTCTACGCTATCATTTCGCGTTTTGGGATTTTAGATACGATTTTCTCATTGCCTTTAGTCTCGATAACAATTCGTATACTGGCTCTGGTTCTAGCTGTAAACGCTATATCAGATATCAGTGGGCTTCAAGTTGTGAAAATGAAGCCGTAGTTGAAACTTCTTATTACCGAAGAAATTCAATATCCTCTTAAGCACCGACCGTTGATTCTTCTCTCGAAGGGCTAAATATTGATTTGTTTGGCGATGGTGATAAAAATCTTTTCGAAATGAGACCGTTTGTGGAAAAAACCAGACATACCTTTTTGAAAATAGACTTAGAAAAGATTTTCAGCATTGATGAAATGGTTAAAGGTAGAAAGAAAAGAAGAAGACTATTTGCTAGTCTGTAATAAGACTAAATTATCTCTCCTAAAATGGAACGACAACAAGTTAGTTGCACTCGCCTCCAGCTCTAAAGATTTGCTCACCATAACACAAAAGTAAAAAGATATTGATATTATTTCATAATGTTGTTAAGCAATATGTTTTATGTGAGGTATAGGCTTGGTTGACATGCTGAGTGCCTTGTACCATTTTTTCAGCAATTTTTACACCAATTCTGATATTGCTGTGAATAATGCAAGGCTGGTGAGACAATGAAGGAAAGTATAGAAGAAAATTATAATGTTAAAACCATTTAAACTATACAAGTCCTTGATATAGAAGGGGGAAAAAGTAGATCAGGACTGTCAATTTTTTTTTTGAGTAAAAAGTCAAACGAGCTGACGGATCACCCGATGTTAAGTGAATACCGCCGCCCATGAACATCTGCTACACCCGAGGGTTTGCAAATGCGTTGACAACCTTTTTGGAAATTGGGTTCCGGCTACCTCACTCGCCAGACGAAACGCCGGACTTCTGTTAGGTCGTGGTACTTATCCGGACGAGCCTGCCCATTCGTGCAACAGCCGAGGCTGCTGCGTGGCTCTACTACCGTAATTTGAGATATATAGATAAAATAAAGGAGTTTAGTCGTGTTTGTCCAGTAGATGATGGGAGGTACGATACAATCGATCATTTTCCACATCATAGAACCGAATATGGGAGATTTGAGATACTGCTAGAAAGGTTTACTACTGTATACTGCCTGAAATGTGAAGTGAGAATTTGTTTTCTACTAGGATGTAACGGTTATTATAATTATCATCATAAAAACAATTAAAATTTTACTAGACATTACTTTTTAAACGGTTATTTTTTCGATTTAAACTATCTTCAAATCAACTTTGTTAGGCGGGCTTAACATATAAAAAAGCTAATGCGTAGACCCATCATAGTACTCATCGAGCTATTTGTAGTTATCAAAGTATTATAAGCTAGTTAAGTTTAAAATCGTGGTAGGCTTGTGCTGAAACAGAAAGGGAATTGTTCTGGAATCTCATAGGGAACACACTGCTCTCTTAACACGCACCTAATGTACTGAGGGTGACCACAGAGGTTTATAAGTGGTTAACAACGTCACTTAACGCTGTTCCCCCAAAAGACAATATCTTTTGATTAATTACAGCTCCCTCAATTACAAAAAAGTATATACTTGTCGCCAGATACAAGGCGAAAACTCATTTGTGCACGCAACCAAGATTCGAACCCCAGATCTTATTTCGCAAATGCGGCATTCTAGCGCAGTGACTACCACGTGCTAACACCTAAAATTAATTGCCATTGTACTAATGAAAGAAGGTCACTGAAAGTGTCAATGAAAGAAGGACATATATAGTCACGTATCTTACTGCGCGCTATTTGATAAGTGTCATTCTGGTGTTCATTGCTGTAATCCGTTTTAAACAATGTCGTAAAGATAACTTGTCGTGTGTTATTTGAAGAGTCGAGATTTTATACTGGAAGTCGATTCGAGCGACGGAACCAAGTTTTTATTACATCTAACCGTAAGAAAACGGTGTTAATCACAACATATAAATGATTCGGAACAGACACCGAAAGAATTTAATTAGTTCTACCCATAATAGAGGATGGAACAAAAATAAAAAAATATGGCGTCGATTAAACCTACGACCCTTTACGCTTACCAATCAACATTGCTGAATTATAAGAAAAAGTAACAATACGTGAATAAAATTTAAATAATAATAATTTAGGTTTAGAGATTTTAAGGCAGTAATGCCGTCGCTAATGATAATAGGTACAGAAATGTACTATTATTATTGAAGTATACGATGTCTTGATATTGATATAAAAACGATATAACTCTCTATTTTATATTATTTTAAATAAGAAGTACGTAAATCTTACTTCATGGACAATGCTTCCAATATTTAATTTTTTTTTGTGCCTTATTCTAAGTTTAGATTGTAAGTTTGACGTTATAACCGCTTTACCTGTACTGGGGCCATGGATTTAAGGATCTGTACAATCAAAAGATGTTGTTTTGTATAAAGCCAAAGTATAACGTACTAGCTGGTGCCCGCGACTACATCTGCGTGGAATAGGCTAAAGGCGTAACATTCAGACAGATATACAAAAAAATATGTATATAAATTATAGCCTATGTGCTGATGCATAAGCTATATTATTGTAAAGTTTCACTAACCCTTAATTTGGGAATGTTATTAAAATAAAAAAAAAAACGATTATTTAAGTGATTATATACGTTTTTGGCCCTATATAGGGCTACAGAAAATTATTTAAAAAAAATCGCCGCTGTAAACTTTCCCGAAAAATGTATGTTAAGTATGCATAACAAAAGCAGGTTAAGAAAGATTGAGTTACAGGAAAACATAACAACGGATACACAGTTTGATTTTTCCTTATTCTCAAGAAGAATAACCGAATTCTACGTTTTTGATTAACCGAATTATAGATTACTTACTACAAAAGACGCTCAAATAATGGATATCGAATAAAAGGTTCAACATGCTTAGCACGCAACTGTGTAAAAAAATTTAAAATAATACAAAAAATTTGCGATACAGCAAAGGACTGTTTTAATTTATTGAAGAGAAGGTGAACGCTCGACCGTCTTTTATCCCCGAATGTAGGGTTATGTGGACAAATATACATAAATGCTTCATTATAATAAATATTAAACGTTTCATCCTTATGTTCAAAAGAGCGGGAACATACAAGCTCAGTATTTTCAATCCTTGACTACGAGCTGTAGAGAAGTTTGCACCTAAGTTGTTCAGATAATAGTCCTGTCTCCGCGCATAGAATATGAATGACCCAGAGTTATTTAGAAACTTTTTATCAAGAACGACTAGGATTCGAATCCACCACCTTAGATCGCAAATCATAGGCCAGGCAACTGTTGTTTAATTTATAACACGTGTCGAGAGCAACAGGTGACCTTCTCGCGCGAATATCCGTTACAAATGTATGTAAACGTTATGAATGTGTTATCCGTGTCTTTTCTTATATTTTGTAAAGAGCACGTTTTTACTTGGTGTTGAGTGACGCTGCTTGGATTATAGGTACTTCTTTATTTTATTGGACAAAGTGGCAAACGAGCTGGCGGTTCACCTGATGTTAAGTGATAACCGCCGCCCATAGACAATTCACAGTCGAATTTTTGGCCATGCCCTTGCGACCTGCGACCTTGGAAAAGTAAGTACCGGCTTGAAGTTAGTTTCGATATAAATATCAGATTTTCCTCGTACCTTTTCCTCCACGATATCAAGTATATTGAATTAAATGAATGGGATGCAAAACAGGTAAGCAGAATTCGGATGAATACATAAATTGTTATCAACTGTTTAGTTTATAGCATGATTAAAGTGCATCGACATGGATGTGGTGCATTTATTTAAATCGAGAATCAGTTGTCCATTTACATAATACTAGCGACCCGCCCCGGCTTCGCACGGGTGCACCGTTTATATCTATACAGATAAACAAAATTGGATTGTCTGTTTGTAACATATTAAAATAACCGCTTTTTACTAAATGCATATGGATTTATACACGGTACACATACCAAAATGACATTTTTTAAAATTTTTGTCTGTCTATCTGTCTGTTTGTTCCGGTTAATCTCTGAAACGGCTGTACCGATTTGGACGGGACTTTCACTGGCAGATAGCTGATGTAATAAGGAGTAACTTAGGCTACTTTTATTTTAGATTATTTTTATTACAAATTCCACGCGGACGAAGTCGCGGGCACAGCTTGTACATATAAAACTTCATCTTGAATCGCTCTATCTAGTAAAAAAAAAAAACCGCACCAAGATCCGTTGCGTAGTTTTAAAGATCTAAGCATACATAGGGACAGACAGACAGCAGGAGGACTTTGTTTTATACTATGTAGTGACTAGTGGACACCGAAAGGTCGAAATTCGACCATAATTATTTTAAATTATAAGTTTGAACAATATTGATCTATTCTTAAATACAATACACAATTCAATACACAACTGATTTACTATTGATTTACTATATTTTTTATGCATGATTAAAAAAAATTGCAATCTGCACTGAAAAAACTGTAAGTGTGGGAAATTTCATACTCCTCCCCGTCCGCCCAATTTTCGCCAAAACGGGTACCAACAAAGTTTTTGCTTCACGTATTAATATATTTATTCCGGTAGTAGGGCCACGCAGCAGCCTCGGCTGTTGCACAAATGAGCAGGCTCGTCCGGGTAACCACGACCTCACAGAAGACCGGCGTAAAGTGGTAGTATAATACTTTCGCGTTTCATCTGGTGAGTGAGGTGGCCGGAACCCAATTTTCAAAAGGTTGTCAACACATCTGCAACCCTCGGGTGTAGCAGATGTCCATGGGCAGCGGTATTCATTTAATATCAGGTGAACCGTCTGCTCTCTTCGCAAATTTTCACATAAAAAATATATATATTTATGATAGACGCCTATAGACATTTGCAACCCTTCAGTTGTTGCAAATGTCTATAGGCGGTGCACATGACATCAGGTGAACCATCAACTCGCTTGCCATCTTCTCAAATAATAAAACATGTGAGTTAATACAGAGATCTATCAGTTTCTAATACGAGGAGGTGTTAAACTTTATAGTGAAGGTTTATATTTGAAGAAGTTAAAATGATTTGGATCGCCCAAACAATAACAACGCGTGTTTTTTACTGTTTGAAGTTTTACTTACATCTAAACTATTATCTTGACTAAATTGTATACTTTAGCTGTACCAACCATTACATTGTATCGTCACGAAACGTATTATGAGAAGAAATAAAATACATTATTATTATTATTATTTAGAGCAAAACATGGAGGAGTCGTAAATAACCCAGAACATCAAGATCCGGTTAGTCGGAACTCTTACGCTCTCTATAATTCTCTTCTCTAAAGAGATATTAGCTTTACGTGAGTGTAAGTAAAAGAGGAGTGACGGATAGACTCAAAATGTGGTACTGGAGAAGAATGGTGAGAGTACCCCCGACCGAATTTTGGACTAACATCTCTATGCTCACAATGCGGCATCATGAGTGTCTTGTTCTTTTTCAGTCTCGCAATGATGTAGCTAAAGAGCACTTGGCGGTGCAGGAAAAAGTAGAGGGTACGAGGGCGTTTGTTAGATGACCCATGAGATGCACAGACCAAGTCAAGGTGGCAGTATCCCCCTGCATGAATGTGCATGGAAGCAAACGACTAGAGAGGAGTGTAGGCGTACAGTTAAGCGGTTTACGACGTCGAAATGATGACTAGGACTTGTCTCTCAAGACTGATACGATTAAACAGAAGAAACTATGATGGTTAACATACTTATTGAACACTAGTCAAAGGTAATATTACAGTTCGAGATGACATGTCCTGACTATTGGAAACGACAAATGTGCAATGTTGTATGCGGTGTTGCAGATGTTTATGGCCGGTAGGATTAATTTTATATTAGGTGCTCGCTTGACAACTTTCGCATAAAAAATCTCTATAAGCAAATTCTTAAATCTATAAATTAGGTTGTTGATAGACTATATTTGATTAAATTACTAACATTACCGAAATAAATATAGGCTAACTCATGTTAATGTAATTAAAGAAATAGATAGAAACATTTGTTCTGAGATATATCCAAATCAATTTTTTTTTGTTAAGAAATTAAAATATGTACTGTTGCCACCCATTTAGGACATTCTGTGCAGGACATGATCCGATTGAAAGTATAAAATAGTTTTTGAACATTTAAAATTAAAAAACGTTGTTTTTCCTTCGTTTAAATATTTCATTCTTTCAAGTCTGTTCAGAGCTATTATAAAAAGATAAAATATAAACAAATGTAGATGTGTATACTTACTTGATTTGAGTTCATTTCCATTTTACCTTATCGCAACATTAACACAAAAACACTAGTGAACTTCTCAAAGGCTGTCTTTCGACTCAATTACAGCGTGAATAGGACTCTATAGCGCCTTTGTCCGACCTTGTTTGAGTACACTCAGAGAGATAAGTCTTACTGAGAAATAACCAGTTTGAAATCATATGCATTAGGTGTGTGTAGTTTGCTACTTTTGTTAAAACTCTTGATTGTATTAGACTCATCGGTATAGAATTCGATAAATAGGTAGCCTGACAACTTTCTACTAAATATAATATAGTAAATATAGTATAGTAATATTTGAAAGGAAAAGTCGATATTCCAGATTGAAAGCCAAATTCTCACCCAGTCACACTTGTGCTTGGCACACGTGTACACGCGCACAAATATGACGAAACATGGAATATGGCATTTGATTTTAAAGGTATTAATTTTTTCGATATATTGAGCCGTAATGTCTCAATGTCCAGGCGCTCTCCTGTACAACTCAATATATTCGAGCGACCTGGGTTCAAATCCCGATGCCGACAATGAGATTGAAGTGCTAACATGTCACGGGCAGGGAGATTTCAAATATGTGAAAGATATTTGAAGTCATCTAATCCGCGGAGGGGTCTTGGTTTACTATGCCCTAATGCCCTCTGCGCAGAGAAGGCCTTTGCCCAGTAGTGGGACAAACATAGGCTGTATTTTTAGTTGCGCGATCTGCCCATTCGGTATTTGCTTGTATACACTGCTAATCGATAATTTCGCAATCACCTATCCATCACGTTGACACTATACAAATAGTTTGTACCGGCTTAATTCAGAGCGAAAACGGGAGTGTTGTCTGCGCTCGATTGCATTCGTGACATTTGCAAATTGGAAGGGTATCCCATTTTATCGATGCTTATTGTATTGTCACTTATGCCTTTGAGTACTTATTACATTTTTAATACGACTTATTGTTTATTACACTATTAACACATTTCTTTTACTACTCTGGGGACAGACAGAGACACAATAACGATTGATATTATTTTGCTAATAAAAAAAAGAATAAACACCAAAATCTTGCTTAAAATTAAACTAGGGTCTTTCTTGTTGTTCAGTTATTCACGTGTTTATTGTTGAAGGAAAGTATTATTTGCAACTGGATGGCGTAGCTATAGGCTGCCCAGTATTATATCTATAGAATTATTATTAATCATGAGTTGATACGTGTTTTTTTTTTTTTTTTTATGCGAAAAGTTGTCAAACGAGCAGACGGTTCACCTGATGTTAAGTGAATACCGCCGCCCATGGACATCTGCCACACCCGAGGGTTACAGATGCGTTGACAACCTTTTGAAAATTGGGCTCCGGCTACCTCACTCACCAGACGAAACGCGAAAGTATTTGTCATACTTCCACTTTACGCTGATCTTCTGTGAGGTCGTGGTACTTACCCGGACGGGCCTGCCCATTCGTGCAACAGCCGAAGCTGTTGCGTGGCCCTACCACCGTAAAACGTGGCGATTGGTGTTGTATTTGAGTATTGTTTGCTGATGATAATTCTTTAGTTTTTAAATTAAAACGACTTTTTTAATTTATAACGATGTTAACAATGCTCTCTCCACTGCAGTGTTTTGGTTTAGTGATAACAACTTAATAAACATTAAGTTGTAATAATATATAAAGAAAAAAACTAAATGTTTTAAATTTACAACTTACAATGTAAAACTTACAAAAACTAATGTACTTTGATGTGAATATTACGAGTCATTAATTAATTTATTTCTTTAATTTTAATAATTTCTAACCTTTTTCTTTACTAAAGCCATCGTTAGCGACAGTACTTTAACTTTAACGACAAAATATATTTTTGTCCGCTATCTTTACATCTATATTTATCAACTATGCTAAAGTTTATTGTTTTTTAATTAAAAACGTCATAGACTAATGTCAATAACAGATGAACGTAATAATTTACTAGGCCCCTATTTTTCTAGTAAACGACGACCCGATTATCAAGACAATATTGCGTTCTTCCATACTTCATTGCAAGGATATATCGACGATATGTCGAGGAGAAATCGGAAATAAAGAAAATAAGAATATATAATAGATAATATATAATATAATATAAGAATATATAATAAAATAAGAATATATAATATAAAAATAGTAATCGGAAATAAATTGGAAATAAAGAAAAGTTTCGATATTTTTTTCTATGGCATGCCGGATTCAAATTTCAAAAAATATAGTTTCGGATACGATTTCTATATTAAATATTTTTTACAATATCGATATATCGTAACCAAATATTATCGACTAAAACTATCGATATATAAAATCAAAAATAGCGATACATTGACATCTTTTCGAATATCGATGCTTTATAATACAATCTCTCTTAGATGTAGACATTAGTATGTATTGTGTATAACCTTCCTTCAGTATTATACAGAATAAATATTCAGTATTTTCTCTTGGTAGGTTCGTGGATTACTTGAAGTTTCGTAAAAAGTATGCTATTTTTTTAATTATGCATAAAAATACATTAAATCAATAAAAAAACATTACTAACACTACTATGTATGATACACACACGCATAATTATAATCTATTTTGTTTATTGTTAAAGTCTGTGATCAAATTGAGAATATTTAATATTTTTCAATCTTAATGTGAATTAATTACGGTAATTGTGTGACTAGACGTCGGTCCTATAATTTTCTTTTCTTCATGTCAATATATTTAATTTTTTCTTTTATGAATTTGAACACTAATTAAAATTCATACAAGAAAAGTTTAAGTTTTAAACTCGGGGTAAAAACTTTTTAAAATTTAGAAGTTCGCTTAAAAGTGAACATACATTCATTTAATATTTGTCATGCCGTTTTTCGACGGTCCGTGCACATTTGCGACGCTTGAAACATCTCCATTATGTCCACGAACATTTTAATAAGGCGTTCATTTACTGGTCCCCGACAACTCATGCAGAGCAGGCGTAATGATTTCTCAATTCAACATGTGTTGCGTTCATTGTATCAATGAAGGCTCATTAAGTAGATCGACTCGTTTGGCTCGATTACCTGCTGGAAATTTTTGATGATTACAATGTTGTAGACTAAAATTCAGCCATCAAAATATTTAACTCAATAATTAACTAAAATATTGTAATAGATATTATAAATACCGTGGAAACATAAATACATCTAAACAACCATGAATAAGTAAGCTTGCTTAATTTGCTTTTTTATGTTCCTTATAGAACATAATGTTTTCGTCGCAAACTTTAAATAATTTATTTCTTTCTCGAGAATGAGACTTAATCTTACTAGAGTAATACAATATCTTTGCTATGATAAGGCTACACAACAGCTTGCAGTTGCACAAATGGGCAGGCTCTCAAGCGTGGAAAGAAACAAGACTGGACCTGAAGACGGGAAAGTGCTGAGTGTTCTCTGTCTTACCGACCCATTAACCAGTTCTGTTTTCGGACGCCATTATTCTGTTCAAGTCATGTTGCAGCGAGTGATATTGGCACGGGATAGTGTGACATTCGCAGTCAATACGAGACTGTTACACTTTGTTAATGCTGTCCTAGCACAATTACGCAGGCACTCCTATACCGTGGCGTGCCTTCCTACTTATAGTCACGAGTATACTTTCATGACGATTGTATCGAATATATGGGTCGGGATGGTTCCAACCCGACACCAAAAAAGGAGTTACAATATCATCAGGATAAAATATTTAAAATATTATTATTGAAATGTGTACCATTCACTTAGGCTAAAGAATCCATTGGCATTGATTTTCTATATTGATTTTTTCAATAAATGATGGAAGTCAAAATGTAGATCGATTATATTATCATCGATGTTTCGTTATACGCTTAAATGTGTAATTTTGCACAAAGAAATGCCAAGTTCATTACCAATATTGCGAGGGGAAATATTGGAAGCGATCTCGGAAGTGATAGTAAAGTGACAATGGACTATTATTCAAAAGAATGACCAAGACCTATGACCTTGTGTAAATTAGCCTTGTTTAAATTTTAATACATCATCGGTGCGACAATTCCCAATGATTATTTCGCTCCAATGTCTTTTTAAGTGCCAATTACGCTCTCACGCGCCCAATGTGCCCTGGGAATATTTTTAAACAACAAGACAAATGAGTGCTTTAGCCTTCGCGTTAATTTACTGAGGCTCGAATTATGACATGTATCCATGGTAAGCATTATGCCTGTAACATTATGGCTGATCATATTTCTACGTGTGATCTATTTATAGAAGAAGCACAAACAGAAAACCACCAGATCTCGTATTTCTAGATATCTCAATTAAGCGAGGTTTAATAGTTTTTTTTTATGTGATAAAGTAGCAAATGAGCTGGCGGTTCACCTGATGTTAAGTGTAAATGTGTGCCCATGGACTTTTGCAAAACTTATAGGGTTGCAAATGCGTTGCCATCTTTAAATGCACTAGGCCCCGGCTAGCTCACTCACCAGACGAAACGCAGAAGTGTAACACTTCTACTTTACGCCGGTCTTCTGTGAGGTCGTAGTACTTACCCGGACGGACCTGCCCACTCGTGCAACAGTGAACACTGTTGCGTGGCCCTGCCATAGTTACAACGTATTATAATAATTCTATTTTATTCGTAACGTTAAAATTAGAAGAGAAATTGATATCAGGTCCAAAGTTACCAATAGTGACGAGCCTAATAGGGCGATTATTAGAAGCTTTAACCAAAGAGGAAGGTGTCCTTGTTTGCTCCCACGTAGATGGAGACATACATAAAAATATATCAAGAGCACTACAGCCACATACGTATACGACTAGAACTATAATGCATGTATCCCCGTACCGTTAAATATGTATGTTAATAAATGTTTATGCTTTTTTTACTTGTGATATGAGAGTTTATAATGTTAAACATATTTTTAATTATAACTGACATTCAAAGCTAAACTACACATTTCATAGTGGAAACAGATATTATGATAAATATATTGGAACGGATTTAACCTTTTCGTAAAGGACTTTTTGTACTTGGAATGGCATTGAATAAAACTTTCCTTTGACGCTGTAATATATTAGGTTTGAGAATTTTGTTTTCTGTGTAAGCAAGAAAAAGTTTCAAAGTTGCTTTACATGTTATCTCGTTTATTTACTTAAGGGTTCAATTTATATGGAGCTCGAATTGGTAGATACCATAATTGATTCTCGGAAACTCTACCATCTTAAATATATTAGGGACCTTTGCATTGTAAATAATATATCTTGGAACTCTATGTAGATTGAGTAGTATCTCGTACTATCTCGTTATTCAAATGTATAGACTTTATCTTTTTACGATCTGAAAGGTTTATAGACCCTCGTTTTCCAAATACTCCCATTTTGCCATATCAAATCAATGAAATGTGGATCCAAGCCACCTTTACACTCTTATTTTATTTTTTTCTTTAAGAGGTCAGAGAGGCTATACATTTAGCAATTGTTATAAATAGGGATAGTGATAGAAGGGATATTGCATATAATTATTATTAACAAAAGTACTCACTAAGGAAATCACACTGAAAATAAATATATTTTTGAGGTTAATGTCAGTTTCAGCTACCCATACGTGAATATATATTTTTTTTATAGAGATGATGTGTTAACGGGCAATTGACGCGATCAAGGTGTTTTTTTTTAGTCTTAAGTCTTTTTTTATCAGTTTTTACCACTTCTTCTTTCTGCTGCCTTTATTCTACCGAGGTGGGGTCGGCACGACATTTGTATCATGTTGTTAATTTCCACATTTCTCGATGACCGGTCGCGTGCCTGAAGTCAACCTTCTTGGAAACACACAACTAGAGCCGGAACAATGATCTGTGGGTCACACAAATACTTGTCTCGTGTGGGAATCGAACTCACGAAAAAAGTTGAAGAAGCCATTAGCTTTGCAACCACATCATCGAGTATCAAATTTTTAAACAATAAATTAAGTCCTTGATAACTAACTACTTAAAATTTTATGGCGATAGCAGTACAAATTGGTAGTAGAACTTCACCAATGAAGATGTCAACTGCGGCAGTTTGTATTTGGATGTGATTTGTGGTTGTGAATTTCTGCGATTGATCGCGAATTCATACTTTTTATGTAATAAACAATAATTAGATCTCAAAAAAAATTAATACGTATTTCATGACACTGTTCAAGGGTTACAAAAAGTTTAACTGCGATAAACTGTGTTTGCTGTTGCAGAAATGTGCGGGTCCGTCCGTGTAAGTCCCACGAGCTCACAGCTCAACGTGACGTAGAAGCGTTACACTTCTGCGTTTCGTCTGGTGAGTGATGTAGTCGGGGCCCAATTTATTAAAAGGTGGCAATGCATCTGTCGTGAGCGGTGGTTATCACTTAACATCAGGTGTTACACCAGCTCGTTTGTCACTATATCACAAAAATAAAACATTAGAGGATAGTTATGTGTTAGTCAATTACTACTTAAGGGTACTCAATTGGGGCATAAGAAATAAACTTTTGATTCCGTTCGTTGGCGTTATAATCATGAAATAATTTCGGCGTTATCTAAGAAAGATATAATCAAATTTAATGACCTTTTACTCTTTAATGTTCAAGGTTGGAGAAGTAATATGAATGACCCACAGCCGAGAATATTTGATGAACTACTTTATATATCCTGACGGCAGGGAAAATTTTTGTGCCATAATACATTTTCACATTTTAATATTGAATGAAAAGCAAAACATTTTCGATGCGCAACCCACATTTATTTAGTTCATTCAATATAAGAGTATATCGCACCGCAACACATAACAAAGCCGATTGTGATTATGACGGTATTACGGAGTAATTTCAATCTGTAACAGAAAATTGTAAATTCACACTGAATACCTGGTTAAAAGAATAGCAATTTTCCAAGATCGAATCATAGCTACTACATAAATACCAGGCAATCTCTAAATATCTGTTGAAGTCCATTAAAATGTAACGAACATAATACATTTTCCTGTCCTAAGGCAGTAGCAGTTATATCAAGAAGCATATACGAGGGCGCGTTTTAAAACCAAAATAGTGAATAAGAAACATTTCAAGAGGGCTGGACTCTTTGAAAAGGTAGTATGCACCTTTTAAATTATACAAAGGGTTTTAGAAAGTTCTGTCTCTAAGTTGTTTGAATAGGATAGAAGGTGTAAAATGTCTTTCTATTGAAGTCTTAAAATATTATTTTTTGCCTTAATAGATTACATTTTGAAAAGGAAATTTAGTTTGAAAATTCAACTGTTAGGAATAATTATAGGGACAAAAAATAATTTTCAAGTAAATTGAAATCCACGCAGAAGTTGCGGCCATAGCAAATTAACTTATTTAATTAAGTTTTTACCTCAAATGGCGAAAATTTCTCTCACCCCATATGACCAAAGAGTCTATAAAGGCTGGAAATATGAATACGATGGTGCTAAGAAAGAAGTTTCCAACCTAAAAACCAGTAGCTATTTCTTGTATTTGCATTAAAAAAACTTTAAGGAAGTTGTAGCGTACAATTTTTATCTTTTATTCCAAATATGTTATGGTTTGGAAGGACTTATCATAATATTATAGCTTTGGAATTATAACGCAAAGAAAATTGTCCATTTCTATTTCTTATTGGAAATATTGATTATTGGAAGTACTGATAATTGGACATTTTTTTTGCCATGTTATATGCTAAAATAGTTTTGTTGCACTTATCAGCTGTGAAGTAAAAGAAAAATTATGGAAAATAAATGAATAACTAATATTTCAAAATGCGCAACAAATTCCTAAAGTTTTAGAATAGATAATCCAGATAGATAAGCCATCGATACATGACCCAGCAGGTTTGAATTTCAGTATTGTGTGTGTACTAAATAAAAAATATCCATTCGGATATCTTCCGCAAACAAATAAAATAAATAAATAAATGAAAAACTGTCCAAAATTCATGCCAGGTTCAGTACCTCTTACATTCGGTATTTTAAGAAGCCGAAGAAATGGAAATGAACACTGTCAATCCATTAGGTTTTAACACCTTTCAGCGTGTTTAAAGTAAAACAAATAAGCCTAATTTAAAGTAACAGAAATCGAATAAGACATTATCTGAACAGTATTTATAGAAGTTTCAGATTTCGTACAAAGCTCATCCAATTGCTCAGATCGGAAAAGATAACTGACGTGCACGTTAGGATCATAACGTAAATTCCCCTGTAAAATCTTTCCCAGTGCCCTCGATTCCTGGAAAGAAAACGGTCATGATGTAGGAAAATAATGGATGACTGGAAATGTGAATGGCGCAGTTGCTATTGGCTTCGGCACCGTGGGCGACTTCGATTCCCACAATCGACTGGTATTTGTGCGACTCCACAGATATTTGGTCCGAATATAGGCGCACATAGAAGACCGACGTGAAGTGGAAGTGTTGTACTATTATTGGCCTCCGAGATTATACTGGATTTTAAGTGTTCTACTTCATCCAGTGCGTCCACAGCATACTTACGCACACAGCATAGTACTGAAACTAACTGATGCATACAATTTTTTACAAATGTGCGGGAAATCGATGGATGCAAGTGGCTCAGGATCGTGCTCCGCGGCAGACTGTGGGGGAGGCCTATGTGCAGTAGTGGGATAGAATAGGCTGAAATGATGATGATGATACAATTTTGATTAAATGATAATTTCAAACCTGTTGTGCCTCCAACCGATGTAGTGCCATATGGTTCTAAACGGCACCCATAGATGTACTGAAAACGTGACAGCGAACATCATTGTCAACAAGAACTGGAGAATGATTGAAGCGCTGCGATAGAAATTGTATTGGTAATTGGTGTGTGGGCAATATTGTGCATTATTCTATCGAAATTCGGAATGGGCTAATGGAATTCCGAAGTAATATCATAAATGTCAAGTGTTATGTGTTCCCTCTTCACCGGTTTATGGTGGAACAGATTTGAATGATGTTTGAAGTACATTTAATTGATTTTATCTTGATTGTATTTCTCTGCGCCATTTCATTGCAAATGGTGAATGTTATTTCTATAATATTCACCTTTTGCAATGAATTGCGCATGACACATAAATAACTATTTATGTTCAACGATAACAGAGGAAGATTTTTGATTACCGATATATACGTATATAAATTATTCATATACACACATAAAAAAGTGTAAGCAACTCCAACTAATGTTTGGAGGGGGGCGGTGTTTTTTCGTTTCAGACAAACTTTTATATTATATATAAACGTAATTATTAACAAACTGAAAAACAATATAATTTTGCGTCTTTTAATAAAATATATAAATAAATAATAAAGCAGGACGCATTCAACAAGAAAAAGCACTAATAATCTAAAACAATAAGTAGATCGATATTGGTAAATGCACTAAATTATTGATTAGTCAGTTATCTCTAGGCGATGACTAACTACCATCATCCATATTTCGATCTGAGGCTTTATCAAGCGGTTGGAGTTTTAAACGGCAGTATATTGCTAGCTTAATCATAATTTTTGTTCAAAATAATGTAATAATGTCTGTGATAAACATATTCTAGTTTTTGATTAATTTATTTGAGCGTAAAATTTAACTATTTAAGCCTTAAATGAGCAATAAATTTTAGTCATTCTGCCCAATTGTCCATTCCAGCTCTATGGATGTTCTACAGCTGTATTGGTACGGTGGTACATATTCCTCGACCGGAACGCTGTTCTGCGGTGTCCCCGTACTGGTATAACAGAGCAGAACATGGTTAATTACACTTTGTTTTACACCTTAAGCTCTTTTCAGCACTCAACATCTGAACGATGAAATACACCTAAATAAACAAAGTTATATAAGTTCCGTATTTTTGTCTTAAATTCAAAAAAATATTTTTTCAAAAATCAGGCGGTTTCCATGTTCAAATCAAAAAGTTTGTATATATAGCATTTGAAAAACTTGCCATCTGCGAGTCGGATACGTGCACGTAGCGTTCCGTATCACTCTACAAAAGCTGCAAAAACATCATATCTGTTGTATGGGAGCCCCGCTTAAATATTCATTTATTTTATTCTATCTTTATCATTTGTTGTTGAGGCAACAGAAATACATCATCTGGAAAATTTCAACTGTCTAAATATCATAGTTCATTAGATACAGCCTGGTGACAAACGGACAGACAGACAGACAGAGGAGACTTAGTAATAGGGGCCCGTTTCAGGAAATATCCCAATATTTTATCGTGTTGCTTACACTTTTTTAGTGAGTATACGTGTAATAGAATACATATAAATAGAATGAGCTTATTTATGTATGAACGGCAGCATTTTACAACTAACTCGTCTTTGGGCATGTGCACTGTAATAGGACTGCGGCAAGCTTCTCCCCAGGACCAGTATCCAAAGAATCCGACACTTGCCACCGACAGCAATACAATGCTCATTCCTGCGAAACAAAAACTTTGAAAAAGGCCTAAAGAAAAATAGAGAAAAAAAAAATGTTTCTATATCACATATTTTAGCGATGGCTCGTTAAGATAGAGATATCTCGTTAGGTTCGTATAACCATTCGTTCTTTTGTTAATGTATTCTTAAATAAACTAATATAAATAAATAGACAAAGATAGAGATTAACAATTCGGTCCACTACATTTTTTTTACTTTATAAGTTGTTGTCGGATTCAAGTCGTGTGTACAGGATAAGGTCTGTCGGGTCCGCTAGTATATAACAAATTGAAATGGGAAGGTGTAAACGGACAAGTAAATGGTTTGACTTTCATCTGTCCATGTAAATGGAGCTTTTGTTCTAAATAAAAAGTTCACATTTGAAATAAATGTCAAACTATATTTAAGAGAACCATAAAATGTTAAAATTAAATAGAGCTCGTATTTGTATTGAGGGGAATGAATTAAGTAGAAAGGAATGTGGACATTACACAGATGAGGAATATCTTCACATTCGTCACCATTCTTATGTAACTGCTGACAAAAAAAACGACTTTAGCAGTACGTACCCCACTGGACTACAATGTAGAAGTATTGCGGCTTTGCCATCGAGTTCTCTATTGGCAACGTTACTCCGATACCATCAAGGCTGTATAAGCAGATGCCGCAGAAACGGAAAAGTCCGTGGACACTCTTCCAAGCTGGACGCACCTCATCATGTTTTCTCTCTAATATACTATAGTATATGGTAATTAGGACGCAAACACCTGAATAACAATCTAGTAATTATTATTATTCACAATGAAAATAATACTCAACGTAAGGAACTTATGAGTATGGAATCATCAAAAATCTCTGTCAATCTTGCACCTAGTTGACGTCACCGTGGTTACAAATTTTTATAGTTTAAAGATAAAAACAAATATACCTACTGAATAAATTTAATGAAAAGTCAATTGAGTCTATTCGTATACCACGTCGGGGATGTTTTAAAATGATGACCTATCAGTGTTTTGACCTATTAGGAATGTAATATCGAGCCAGTTACTATCAAAAGACATTGTAACCGTAAAATGACAATTTTTAGTGTACACATCTTTCTTTCAATCAATACTTTTTTATTGGCTTTTTTAATTATGGCACTGCATATGGAATCCGTTGGGTGAGGTAGATATGGGCAATCACTTAACATCAGGTGAACCACCTGCTCGTTTTCTAATTTTTATGCCTTCATTATTCGGCGACTGACCAAGATATGTTTTGTCTGATCTGAGTTGTTCTTTGATAAGGCTTTTTCTCTTACCGCAGAAAATGTCCGCAACAATTGAGAACGGTGCTAGATGTTTTAGGTTCCTTATCATTGAAATAAAAAATAATGGTATGGCAACGACTAAAATATAAATTGAAATTGGCAACTGCCAATTCTTGAAGTTTGTGCTGATAGATTCCATAAGCTGAAACATTATACAATTTTCATTAGTTTTGGGCTAACAATAACAAATACGAGTTTTTTTATGATAGTAACTGCTTATAGATATAAAATGTAGATTAAATATAGGAAAAATAAAAAAAATATAATTTTTTTTTACATCATTAAAAGTGTCGGAAATGTCGAAAGATGAACTTAGATTGTCATGTACATTTGTGTACATGAAAACCTAATTTCATCTTTCATCTTTCTTATCAATCCATATCACCTCTTTGATTGTTCTCGCGATCATTATTTCAAAAATGCAACAGGTGCTGCAAAATCCAATAAAAAGGAAACAGTCCACCGAGTACCTGAAAGGCAGGGGTGGTATCATTATACGAACACCGAAGGTTAACACATATTTGGCTCCGTGAATTATCAAGTTAATCTACATATGCAAATTCCCTCGATTATTCTCAGCCATCTTACACCTAAATTAATCCCAAGGGTGGGTGAGATTCAACCTGTGTTGATTTTTATTTTAAATGGAATTCACGTTTTGTTACAGCAAAACCCGATTGAAAGTAAAGTATGAATGAGTACACGGATTCGGATTGTATCAAACGAAACGATGTTAATGATAATTGAATGATTTTAGTAGATTTTGATAGACAATAATAGATTTTGTATTGCGAGCAGACAGGCAACCAAAAGATATTTATTGAAAGGTTGTCGAATGTAACTTTTAGGGTTGAATTAACAGTGTATTATATTTAACAATGATTTATGACCAGATTTTGAGACTTACCTGAACACTTTGCTTAGACCTCTTATACATTTTAAAGGTCCTGTCGCTATAACAGCTTCGACAAGGTCCGGATATGAGAGCTTTGGAACTCTTAATCTGATGTACATCTTTTGTGCCGAATGCACCAGTAACTAAAAACGTTTCACGCAAATATTACATATCTCAATATGGCTCGTTTACGATATAACGTTCGCTAAATGGGTCGGAATTTTATACAAATAATAACCTCACTCACCAGACGCATCGCAGAAGTGTAACACTTCCACTTCAAGTCGGGATTCTCGGAGATCGTGGTACTCACCCGGACGGAGCTGCCCATTCGTGCAACAAAGAAAACTGTTGCGTGGCCCTACCACATTAAAGTACCCACACACCACGGTAGTGCGGGGTAGCATTGATATTATTAACTTTTATCATCTCAGTTTGGACCGTGTCCACGAATACTATAATGTATTTAAAACTTTTCATTGACAGGATCACAAAAATAAACGATTAGGATCGGTTGTGTGCATTTTGATTTTGAAGGTGAATATCCACCTCAGGTTTGAGCTAGTGGTTGTAGCTTAAGTTATAAAACAACTCTCATGGTAATATTCTCTTTTGGTTTTAATTCTTTTTTATTTTATAGTTATAAACTATAAAATACATGTGCTTCTAATGCTCTAGTGCGTTTAACATTTACGACTGCATTACCACTTACCAGTAAAACACTAGGCAATGTTTAATACTAATATTATATCAATGAACTGCGGGAATCAAATAAGATGGGCGGTTAGAAATTTTCACTTGTCATTTTTTTAGTTTATGCAGATTACTTTGGAGACTTTTTAAAAGTTTTATAGGAGATGTCTATCGGAGAAGCAAGTTTAGTAGACCGTTTTTAGGAATGATTATTGTTCGCTAGACATCATCGTTTTTAACTCAAATGATTTTGATTTGTACTTACTAACATGTTATATTGAACTACGAATCCGATAAGTACGTTAGTGGCCAGTGAAGTCCACAGGCCCCCATGCATGTAGCCTTCGTGGATGCCTAGTATGCCAGCGCCAAGACATCCTTTAATTAGGTGTGCCGTTGCCTCAACTAAACTGGAAATCCAATCCAATACAAACAAATATCAAAAATGGCAAGAACTTGCTCTCTCGTGTTAAATACAGCGTAAAAGAAAAGTAGCATATCATACATATCCCACTGCTCGTAAAATGCTTCCTCTATACAGAGGGTATATAGTGCACTAAGCGGCCCAACTGCGGATTGGCGGACTTCACATATCTTTGAAATAATTCTTTTTTTTATTATTTAAAAAATATGCACCTGCATGCAGGAAAGCTTTCCTCACGATGTTTTCCTTCACCGCCGAGCACTTGATAAGACAGCACTTAAAATTAACAATTTCATTGGTGCCGGCACTGGGGGATCGAACTCAGGTTGCTCGAGTGTATTAAATCGAAGGCTAGCGCCCGGACACTGAGCTATCACGGCTTTCAGATGTGTACAGTGTAGTAAAAATTATTATAATAAAGAAAGGGATAACGTTTAAACTAGTTCAAACATAAGTAGCTAAATTAAAAGGATTTTGATAAAAACATGTCTCTCTTTAAGCTGGTTTCAGTTTTAGGATTGTAACGTCCACAAACTGCATTAGCGGCGTAGTAGACTATTACTCTCTACATCAGGGAGTGATTGACGGAAACGATACATTATAACTTATTCAGTGAGTTTCTTTTTACAATCGCATAAATTGGTTTTTACGGGAAATGAACGGATGCGACGAAATAATAACTAGCGTTTGTGTTATTCTGCGCTGATATGGAAGTTCGTACTTCGTAGCGTAAACATTTTGCCTCTCGGCTATAAAATCGTATTCCATCCTTTCAACACCCGGGTACAATTCGTGCAGCTCCGCATTATTTGTTCGGTCCAAATATTCCTTCAGTTCAACGTTCAAAGAGCGCAGAGATGTTAAATCGGTCACCTGAAATTTAGAAAACACGAGATGAATAAGCGCGATTCGTTTAATCGAATGCATTCGATATTTTTTATGATCAGTGACTGCAGACTGTTTGTTGCGAGGCCTTACCTCGGGAATCTCACTGTAAATTTAATCAACTCGTCCGGATATAAGGAGCCTTAGAGGTCGTTAAGATTCTAGAATACGTCGTAACGATGTAACTGTAAGTTAGTTTTTACGATAACTATGAACTTTCACGTTTATTACATTTTTACACTTTACTATGTATATGAGGTTTGCTTGCTTTTTAAAATCATGAAATTGTTTTTAATTCAATCTCGTAGATATCGTTAAATAGGGTTTTAAATAGAAAGATGAATATAGAAACAATAATAGCTCTAGTATTTAATATAATGTGTTACATTAAATTGAACTTACAGTCTCAATACTCGGTGTTTTCGTAGCCTTATCCTGGAAAATAAATTACTAGACTTATTTTAGCATAACAAAAAGTATATCCTAGTTTAGTTTACTGTTTTTTCGGTGGGGTCAGCACAAGATATGAATCCTATTGTTAATGATATTAGTTGGGTTTTTACGACCAGCCACCTGCTTGACGTCAAACCTTTTCAGTCCAAGGACTCCACATTGAGGACAAGGATGTTTGGAAATGACTCCTGCTCTGCACTTGCAAGACCCCTGTCTGCTGCTGATTTTATACCTAAATAAATGTGTATAATTGCATCAAAAAAAAAAAAACAAGAAGAACAAGACCGCAGAGTTTCTTGCCGGTTCTTCTCTGTGCAGGTCTAGTTTAGTGAACCGGTGGTAGATTTTTTGTTGACGTTCAATAAGAGTTTTAGTTAGGCCTATATTGAATAAATATACTTTGACTTTGACTTTGAGTCCTTGGGAATACTCGTAACCACCTAGTTGCGGAACAATTTTATGAAGGTCACACAAATAGCTTTACCGTGTCAGAATTCAACCCGCGCCGAAGCTAATTTCTTAGAAACTGCGCTTGAATATTAAGTTGACGTAACGTGTACTTGTGTATCAAATATATATTTACGTTTTTTATAGTAGAGCACCATCATTTCTCTATCTCTAAACGTAGTAAATATAAGTAGTTATATAAAACTTAAGCTTAGACGCCGCTTTTCATGTCATGGTAACTATCCGTGATTAATGAACTTGTATTTGTTTTCGAACTAAATAATCTTATGGTGCAGTTTTTTTTATACGTAGAATTCTCTAAACTCTAATCAAAAGTACGATTGGTCAACAAGAAATACTTGAAACAACAAATATGAAAGAAAAGAAGAAAAAATGTTTCATTGCATTTTGTAAATATATAGTAAGAAGCTTCCTCGAAAATTTACACAATAAATGATATGAATAAATACTTTCACAACTTTTTAATTAATTCCTTAAGAAAATATAGCCATACGAGTGTTCCTTATTAAGGTTTCGACCAAAATATAAACAAAATATATTATACTAATATACTGACAAGCAATTTCAACAGAAAACAATTATGATTTTTCAAGAGGAAGAGTTGTTGAATAAAACTTTATTAATAGTTACCGTTTTGTGACTTGACATTTGGATGAATACAATAATAAACCACAGCAAAGTTAAATCTCGATGGCTGTAAACATTCCAGTATAAACCTATTTTTAAAGCACAGATTTTCGTCATATGTCAGTTTGCCACAGCATTTCAAATAAACAAATATCTTTTTTGAATTTGAAAAGTTTAAGTGAATGCTTATTTACTTATTTCCTCCAGCGAAATGTAATTTGATGACCTCAAACTGACTTTTTACCTCCTGTCAAATACAAGTAGGGTGCGTTCGTGTTTGTAAAATGTCATAATTTCCATTCTATTTAATGTTTTTTATCTTCTATTACTGTCACTTAAAATATTTTTTATATCAAAATCTAGTTTCTCCGAAAGAAATTATAAAATTACATTAAATACCACATAAAACGCTTGTTCTTCAGATAATTTCTTTTGAAATTTATATCCCTACTGTTTAAGCATCGTTTTATTTACCATGACGTTTAGACTCTCGTTGTCAAATCGTACATCAACAAATACATCGTTTACTAAATGGAATATTATTTAAAATTGTGATAGCCCAGTACCACAATCTTTAAGGAGAATTTTATTTTAAAATAAAACTAAAGTTCTCAATTATTATTTATTCATAAAAGGATCAGCGGAGCAAAAAGGTACACGTATGCTTCAGCATCTGACGCAGTCGGGCTTATCTGTTACCAGGCGCTCGCCTTTAGTGCTTGGATTCTTGTCTTCCTCTTCGCCACAATCATCATCGTCGCTTTCGCAAGGGTCTGCTGATTGCTCCGGTTGACATTGGTAATTTTCCTCGCACTTGATCTGACACACGAATCGCTTCTTTCCGTCGAAGCTGTTTAAGCATTTGTTGTTGCATTGGTCATTAGCCTCACAATTGATTTCGTTTTTGTACCTCAGCAGTGTTTTCAGCACCGGCGACGGGGTTGTCCCGACGACTCTCATTTGACCCTTGATGGCCCTTTGCTTTTGGAGCCGACCCTTAGGCAAACTGTGTGGACCGTGGTACAGATTATGGCCGACTTCATGAATGGGTAACACTCCTTTTTGAGATCCTGAACCCTGATATGAGATAGTGTATAATTAAGTAGGACCCTACTTCTTTTTTTAACGGGGGAATACGTTTGATCTGATATTATAATGTCTCTCATCCATCGACATCCACAAAGCTTATGTAGTTGTGACCCGATTGCCTTACTCAAAAGGGAAGCCCCGTTTGCCTTACTCAACAATTTAAGAAATTAAAATAAAGAAACCTTGTGGTTTATGTTTCATCCACAAGGTTTCTTTATTTTAATTTCTTAAATTTCTTTAATGAATCACTACATAATATAAAACAACAAAGTCTCGCTGTCTATCTGTCCCTATATACGCTTAGATTTTTAAAACTACGCAACGCATGTTGATGCGGTTTTGTATGTCGAAAACAAGCATTGAGCATTGCACCCGTGCGAAGCCGGGGCGGGTCGCTAGTAATACATAATTTATGGCACTCACAATTTATAGACAATTTGACGATAAAGTTCTGATGGAAAAAATTGGGATTAAGAATTTCAGTTGTTTAGATTAGTCAAGAACTCTAGGCAAATTAATTTTGGGGCGATGGCTCCTTCAAATAAAATTTTACAGCTTTATCTGGTATATTCGTAAAACTAAGCTTCTTTTAAGGTTATTAAGCGAGTAGGGGGTTTACCTGATATTAAGTGAAAACGACCGCCTATAGACTACTGCAACATCTGAGGGATTGCAGATTCATAGACAACCTTTATAAAAAGTGGGCCCCGAATACCTCCCTCACCAGACGAAACGCCAACAGCTGTCGCGGCTGTCCTCGTTGTGCTACTTCCGCGGTCGAGCCTGCCCATTCGTGCAACAGCAGAGGCAGTTGCATGGCCAGCTAAGAACTCACAGTTTGTTGTATCTAAGTTATAGATTTAATCTGATCATTCAGAAACGAGATCATCCACATTTACGCACTACACATACTCATAGCTATACCATATTTGATATTGTTATAATGGAGATTAATTCATACCGAGAGTTTGAACACACTCCCCTCATATGCAAAGACGTACCAATCTCAAGCAGAGCTCCCGCGGCAGCCTATAGCAAATGTAGTACCTGGCTTTGAAGTAAGTAAACGGCTGGTGGAATTCCCTCATCACTTTCGAGGCTTGTATCCACCAAGTTGCTGGGCTTTAGAGGATATTTTGGTTCATCGCGAAGGTTGCTCCTGTCGATGATGAGTACTAGCGGCCTGTTGTTTTGTGTAGCGCTGTTGAAAAGCCGGCTGAGAAGACTGGAGATCCTCTGGGTTGCAGCCATGTCTGTGCCCTGCAATATTAACAAGAACTTGTTGTTGGCCTGTTATTGGTACAGCGATGACTGTTGCTTGGCCCTACCATAGTTAAAATTTTGGCGGCAATCTTTACTCTGTGCAACTGTTTGACACAACAGCCGAGCGCTTTCCGCAGGCGACAGGAATTCAAATCTCAGAGCGTTGACATAAAAACCGATTAAGAAGGCATTCATATACATTCCCTTAATTATCAATTAATAATAATGTCTTAAAGTATGCAGTTTTAGTAACGATTGTTAATTGGTTGAATTTAACGTCGAAAAATATACTATTAAGATTGATGAAAATTACCTTGAACTGAGCTGTGTTTAATGTATTAAATAACAGGCAATTGAAATTTAAAGCACCGGCTTTCATATAAAAAAAATATTCCTCAAAATTGGTTGACTCAGTCGAGAGTTCTGAAGTGTCAAACATACAAAAATGTACAGTCAAATTCTCAATTCCTGATTCATTTATAAACCACACGCAATAAAAAATAATGAAGGGATTTGTGCGAGTAAGGACATGTTTCCTTTCAATTGTAGTTACTTTGAAGAAACATCACCGTCATAATGAAATGAAAAATGAGGACGCTAAATAAGAATTAATCAAAAGGAATATTAAAAGTAGGATGTTCTTGCAAACTCCAATTATATACGGTAGCGTGTGTAAATGGTAGTATTTGGGTTTATTTAGGTTTTGGTTATGTATTTAGGTTTTAGTTTATAAAACAGAATAAAAGAATCATTTGTTTACAAACGAAAAACAAAACGGACTTCAAATATCGCGCTGTGTATTCATATTATAATTGATTTTCATGAGTTCCCTAAGTATCTCCGGAGCCCAAGATCCAATACCAATGAAATTAATAAAAATAAATAATTAAAGTTATGAGGTAACAAACATAAATAAAAATGCACTCGAATTGAGAATCTCCACCTTTTGAAGTCGGTTAATATAGTGGATAGATGTTGAGATTTTTGCGGCCGTGACGCTATCGGGCGCTTAGTTAAGTTGACTAGCAGTTTCAATATTCAATATACAGACAGATTTGGTTACTAGCGATAGGTATTTGACATTAGCTCTATAATCCCTACGCCAAAACTCCATTAATTCAGTAAGCAAATATATCTGTAGTTAGAATTTTAAAACCAACCGTAAAGTAAATTAGCGATTCAAATCTAGGTGACACAGGTGTGAATCTCAATCGTCAATTTATCAATTAAACTCGCATATAAATAACCAAATAACCCCTTTAAAACATATTGTAGATATTAGTGAAGAATTTTGACACATTGACTATTAATTAAATGATGTTGTTATGAAGACTGTCACTGTTATTATAAAAAAAATACAATTAAAATAATAAAAATTAGATAATAGACAGTATGCGAATATGTATATATGGATAAAAATATAAGCATGCAATTAAGTCTTTAAATATAATAGACATTAGATATAAAAAAAAATAAAAAAAACAGTTGTTATAAAAATAAATAACAAGAACATGAAGCTACACTTACACTTAAAACCATAGAGCAAAAGATGTGGATTGAAATCATCGCCAACTTCATTGTAGTTGCTAACAGAGATCAATTTGACGACTGATTTGAGAGTATTTACTTTTCTTTTTTCATTCGTTAGTTAGACGCTCCAGTGACCGTTTAATCAAATCTCTAATCATTTTTTTATTTCTTTTTTATCAGAATTGTGTTTTTAATCAGTGAATTAAGTACTCTAATTATAATTACCATGGCATAAATTTACGACGAATTTATTATATACAGACGAGAAGGATTAGTAATGTAAGGAGCTTTAATATTATTACAGATTATTAAGGTCTGTCAAAGCTTCATGAAGTTATGACGATTTATACAGTAATTTATTGTATTTACGTAAACACTACAATTTATGATTGAAACCATTATAACAGAATTTAAAAATTAGTTTTATTCAATTTAAGATTAAAGTAACACAGATTAATATAACACGAGTTAAGACGCAATTACCTAGAGTACCTAGAAGGTGAATCGAGACCCTATTACTAAAATTTAGCTGTCTGTCTGTCACCAGGCTGTAATCTCATGAAACGTGATAGTTAGACAGTTTAAATTTTCACAGATGATGTATTTCTGTTGCCGCTATAACAAAAAATACTAAAAAAAAAAAGAATAAGAAATATTTAATTGGGGTTCCCATACAACAGAAATGATTTTTTTGCCGTTTGGATAGATATTGGTACGGAACCCTTCGTGCGCGAGTCCAACTTGCACTTGGCCGGTTTTTGATTGTTGCTGGTACGTAATGTCTTCATAATTATTATCACCCATGGATATCTATGAAGATCTTATTGCTTCTTTCATAGAGTACACTCCGAATACACCATTATTATCGAAATAAATGTAAACTACCTACATATACTTCTATCCTACATAATATATTCTATGAGGCAATGATACTTTCCAAATAAGCCTACTTATATATATGGCATATATATAAGAGCTTCTCCATAGTTCAACCATAATTAAGTTAGACTAGTGATCCGCCTGGGCTAGCACTAATTATCCCAAAGAGTAAAGTTCTCTTCATCCGATTGCTCCTGTTTGATATAGCTTTGCAGAACCACCTTTGAGCAAGGTTTAGGCTGGGCGCTTGCGAGGCTAACGTATTTCCTTGGTTTAGCTCTTGCTGAACTATTATTGCAGTGCGTTCTGTTACGTAACTTGATGATGCTGTGTTACACAGTGGCTGCTTTATAAAAAAAATTAAGACTTCGTTTATAATACAATTCAAATACTTTAAATTAAGGTCTACGAGTTAATTGAGCACAATTCAAATATGTACACAAGCTGCGAGTACGATGTTATCAAAGGTAGTTTCAATGCCATACTTTTCCAAAGCATTCTACCGAACATTCTCTCTACTTAGAATGCCTTTGACACCGTCTCTGAATATTTAATCGATTTCGTCTGACAATGCTGGCACTATGATATTATATTTTGCACAATAGACACCGTTTAAGCGAAGTGAAAGGAGTTAAGATAAGAAGAAAATAACAATAAACCTTTTTACGGTGCTTTTTAACCGACTTTAAAAAAGAGGAGGTTTCTATATACTTTACTCTTTATACTTTTATCTCTATACTTTTACTCTTAAATCTATTCACGTTATTCACCCAATAATGCTTGCCCTTAAAAGATCACCTTTGGATCTCAATGAGGTTAAACAAATAAGTTTTATCTCATGATTTGGATAAATATTATAATAAACTTTTTGTGAATCGATACTTAAGTCATTGCGTATCACTTCGTCCGAAATGTCGAAAACTTTACTATTCTTTTTATGAGAATTGAGAAGATGGCAAGCGAGCTGTCGGTTCATCTGATGTTAAGCGATAGCCACCGCCTATGGACATTTGCAACACCCGTAGGGTTGCAGATGCGATGCCACCTTTTAATAAACCGGGCCCCGGCTACCTCACTCACTAGACGAAACGCAGAAATACAACACTATCAATTCGCGCCAGTTTTCTGTGACATCGTGGTACTTTTTTTATGTCAAAAGTTGTCAAACGAGCAGACGATTCACCTCATGTTAAGTGAATACCGCCGCCCATGGACATCTGCCACACCCTAGGGTTACAGATGCGTTGACAACCTTTTGAAAATTGGGCTCCGGCTACCTCACTCACCAGACGAAACGCGAAAGTATTTGTCATACTTCCACTTTACACAGGTCTTCTGTGAGGTCGTGGTACCTACCCGGACGGGCCTGCCCATTCGTGCAATAGCCGAAGCTGCTGCGTGCCCCTACCACCGAAAAAGTTGTCTGGATGGATCTATCCATTCAGTTATCACCATTATGGTAAACGAAGGCAATTGCACGTGTGTTTCGATTAATCCTGAATTGCTCATATTTAATACTACAAAGTGTAAATAGAACTATTGTTCTGTTTTACTGACAATAAATTAGTTTTATAGATAAATGGTTGGCTTGGGCCTTCTAAAACAGTTCATTTTTGTTTATTGTAATTTACTGCGTACTCTTTTTGAAATAAATTGCAAGTTTAAGATATATGAAACTAAAGATGTCTATTTTCCATCAATTTAAGATAAAATTCAATAAATATATAACAATTTTGTATTCAAAAATTCATTGGATGTTGGGAAACTTTTTTCGGGGAATTTTCAGTTTTTAATTTCTTGTTATATAATTTTAAAATTTCTTTTCCTTGGAAATGAAGAAAAAACTTTGAGACAGTAATAAGTAATAATGTAAATATAATATAGTATAATAATGTTAAATTCAGAAAATTTATTGGATGTGGGAAACTTAATTTTTTTTAATATGTAAATAATGAAAAAAGTATGAGACAGAATTATTTGTAATATTACATGAGAATCTAAGTTTACATCAGTTTAGAGTTAAGAAGTTGAAGTTTGTCTTTATAAAATATGTAATAGTGGAAGACTACTGCTATTCTTTATTTCATTCGCCACTTTGGAGGTAAAGTCATGCCGCATTTTTCTCGTTTACATTTCGATTTGGGCCGCTCACAAATTTCATAGACATCGATCTTTATTACACACTTTTTAATACAGTTTATTTTCTTCTTCGGGCACGCTCTTTTACATTGCCTCAACTTATCACATCTCGCACGAAGTATTGGACGTAGTACGCTTTTTGTTTCCTCTATGGTGTTTACTAATTTCTTATCTAGATTTTCATTGTCTTCTGTAGTCTAAAATTTAACTTTTGAGTTAATTGATTATTTAATTTCATTCAATATAAATTATAATACTTGACCAACCTGCGTTCAAATACCGTTGAAGAAATATCATGGTCTCAAGAAAAAGGTGTACTATAAGGTATGAATATAGAAGTATGTACTTTTGCATTTAGCAATGTGGGCAAAATGTCTGTAGGCACATCTAATTCAAGGCAAGATTCTCATTTCAAACCTAGTCTATAGATTATGGATGGTTGGTAATTACTGTTATAATAATGACGTTTTTATCTTTAAAATAAAATTATATTTAGGAATGCAATTCGTACGCTTACTCGTAAGATATGGTACAAAAAGTAGGCGCTATCATCATTAGGTGATGACTTTATGTCATCTTCAGTGGAGCTCAAATCACTGATATCGCTCGAAGATGAAGCGTCTTCCCGTTCATTTAGTTGAGTTCTTATTCCTGGTGCAAAAATGAGTATTAGGTGATTCCCATTGCCACCGTGGTAATTATTATCAGAATTCGGAAATGCAACACGTTGATCCGTTGAGTTTTCATTCTGTAGAAAACAAAAAGGTTTCATTTAAAACAATTACGCTTGTTCCTAACATATATAAGCAAAGACACACGGATATTACGGCATTAATGTCATAGTTGATTCTCAAACTCAAAATGTTTTTTTTGTTTGGAAGCGGTAAAGTGATAAATTGTATTCTTACTGTGTAATACTTCAAAATTGTCACAAGGTAAATTGAAGTTTAATGATATTCGTCAGGAGGAAATTTACTACTTTCGAGTAAGGTACAAAAGTTCATCAAATCGCGAATTTTATATTAAATGCCTTCCTTCAATATCATTTGGCGGCGTAACGCAGATGAGTTTCCGAAATCTTTGCCCAACTTCGCTCGAGATTGTAACAATTTAGCTGGAAATAATCTACGTGGAAAAGTTGGAAACTGCGATATCAGTTATGATAAAAAAGGTGTCGAGGACAATCCGGAACATTTGTGAAAAGATAAAGGCAAAGAAAAAGTAACATCTGCGACGGAAACTCCGACGCATTAGATTTTGTTGGAGGTAGTTTGGAATGATAGTTGTTCGCAAGTCGCCGGCTCTGCTACTATTTAGTCATAGACGAAAGGAATTTAAATTTCGAATGGAAGTTTTTGTCACTTTTTTGTAAGGCATGGGTACATTTCACCGAGTAGTTCTTTCCTTCTATTGTAGAAATATTAATATTAATGCAAGTTGTAGATATTGCAAAGAATGTAGGTTAGTACCCTTTGAATCTGAGAAACCTGCTAGAATAGAATAACATTTAATGAAGTAGTACTCAACAGTCATTATGAAATTCGGCCTCGCGTATTTCCTAGCTACATACTATTTTTATCGAGTCGTTCATTGCATTTTAGGAACAAGTATAGAAAAGTTATTATGACACAATATAATATTTAAAAGGGAAATGGTATTCGTGCAAGCCATAGGGATTTGAACTCACCGACGTAAAATGCGAGATACCAGCCACTAATCCACTAGTACATATTAAGCGAGAAACGGTGGTAGGTTCGCGTAACAGTGCTCGCTGTTGCACGCGGGCTGGTCCGTCCGGGTTAGTACCACGACCTCACAGAAGACCGGCTTGAAGTAGAAGTGTTACACTTCCGCGTTTCGTCCGGCGCGTGAGGTAGCCGGAGCCCACTTTATTAAAAGGTGGCAATGCATCTGCAACCCTACTGCTGTACATGTCCGTGGGCGGCGGTTATCACTTAACATCAGGTGAACCGCCAGCTCGTTTCTCAGCTCGTTACTTTCTGACATAAAAAATAAATAAACAAATAGGACGTAGAACTTACTATCGCACATACGATAAACAACAAAACGGACGGAAAACGCCAAAATTCCCGACGTCGCATGACCGGCACAAAATCCGCTGTATTTTTCCTTTCTTTTTAACGCATGAACCGATTTAATTTGCTAAATGGGTCGTATGAATTAGCATTATGTAAAACGCATTAATTTTTTTATTACGCCTTTCCGATAAGCAAAATTTTCCCGCGCCATTTTAGAGTTTCATGAAAAGTCGATTCCTTTTATGTTCAACAAGATTCTAAAGGGTTTTTAATACAGTAAGCGACTTAGTTTTGAAACCTACCCGATGCCTGATGCCGTGGGGTTTACGAAAATATTTGAGAACGATCTATTGTATTTCAAAGGTCTTATAAAATTTAATGGGATAATTCTTTGTTAGAGGGAAATTATTTTGCGTTATAAACACAATAGCAGCCACACAAACTTATCATCCGAAATAGAAAGTAATTTAAGTACCATCTGCCAAAGTGCTCTTGCAAAAATCAATTCAATTAATATCCTTTGTTTAAGTATTAAGTATTATGTTATAAGGTTTGAAACTATAAAGAGGTATAAAGCAAAAAATAAAGGGATATGTATTTGTTCGTAATTTATTCTTTTACGGACGTAATTAAAAATCTTTTTAGATTTTCGACCAATGAAAAATGTGTTCTTGCTCTTGATGGGTTATCAATTTTAATTTGTGTAATATTAAGACGGCTGAACTCACGTAAAGGAACTAGTCGGTACATACACCGGGTTTACGTGAGTTCAGCCGTCTTAACATTACATTAATAATGTCTCATGAAAGTTTTAATAATTTGAATTTGTTTTAAAATCGCATAGGACTAATAATTTGTAAGACCTAATTTGTAATTTTCCTTGATTAGCCAGCATAATTATTGCAATAAAGTACATAAATCCTTACTTAAACAAAAGCGTTATGATTTCTTGTATTTACGTGATTACAAATTACTAAATTAAATTGTATTTACGGATTTATCGCGTTTATTTTTAAATTTCATGGTCTATGTAGAGGAAGAAAAATATGAAGAAAATATTAGGAGATACTTTTATCTTTTTATAATTTTTGGCACTATACCTGTTAAACTCACATTTACATGGTTTGTAACCATGTCTAGTACGTTGTTTGCAGATAACATGAAATGATTTACTTTAGCCCATATTCAAATTAAATGACCGATATGATGATCATAAATTTATATTATAATTAAACCAAACTTTTATATCACTGGAAAGCAGAATAAATACTTTATTCTTTCTAAATTTGACATAACTTGTTTTTATTCATGTCAAACTGACGCGATTGATTACATATTTTGACTAATTCTACGGGTAATGGATTAGGATTTGGATATTATTTGTGTTGTAGGATAAAATATTGAAGAGCTATCATGTATGTTACAGGTAGATTTGTATAAATATTTTTACAATATAAACATATATGTAAAGATAATTAAATAGATTTTTAGGTTTTCCTACTTCAGTCGCTTCATACAAGCCGTAGTGCGCTATCATAAAACGTTTTGTGAAACTTCAAGATTTTAATAAAGTTATTCGGCTGAGTTTAATTTGGTGAGCGTTAAATTGATCGCGGCACCTATCTCGTGTGCACTTTCAAAACTTCATGCATAAACATAACACCACGAAATCTCTACACGCGCGAACGTTGTGCCATAACTCAGTCTGGTTTTCAGCTGCTAAAATATGTACAGCGATGAAATACGAGACTTATCTCTCAAGGCTATAAACAAAGACGTATGGAAATTGCACCTCTTAAACGTACTCTTGAGAGGTGAGCGCAGATAACAAACATTGGGAATAGTGTGGTGCCACACTGCACCGAATTCGCGCGGTCATGCGTTTGGGTTATAAATAATCTCTACCACTACTTGAAATATGTGACAGTTTAGTACACTTGTGCCTCCTGTACAATAAGGTATATAGATAGATAAATAGATAGAGAAATACGTGGAGAGATAGATAGTGGTAGACTTGATCAGACGAGAAAACAGTTAATGAGGAAAATTGTGGAAAAGCGTAATTAAGAAGAAGGTATTTCTTGTCATAAAGATTCATGGTTAATTTTCCGATGGACCAGACGCGATTCTGCTATCCGCTCCTCTCTTTGCACTGATACCTCACCTTTATTTTTATTTGCATATCACTCTGAATCTTCTTAACTCCAATAATAATAAAATAAACTTTACAAATTTAGATAGTACAGTGAAAATTAATTTATTTTACTATCCTTGTTTGCTTCAGTTACCTTCGTTAGAGCGTCATATATTTTTATAACGCTTCCATTTGAATGGCTTTGGACAACAAATGAAAAGATTTAATAAGATTACACATAGTGTTCTGCACGAAATATATTAGAAAAAAACAATTCTACCGAGTACAATGTCGTTGTCTCCGTCGAACCATCGTGTATATTCAAAATATGACAAGGAAAAAAGAAGTCTAACTAATTTTTACCAGTGCACGAAGGCTTATCGTTCTCTTAATACAAACATATAATATGTATAATTTGCAAAACTTATTTTAAATTGTTGTACATACTAGCAATTAAAATTAATTAAGATTAACATACTTTTACTCTTTAATAAAACATAAGATCTGGAGTAACTCTGATCTGATATTGAAGATTGACGCTCCACTCTTTTTTTCGATATTAAAAAAGGACTTTTGGTCTACAACCCACATATTAATTGGAATAATTTGGATTCCAGCGCGTTTAATAACCACATAAATAATTATACAATATTTACTAACGGACCGTACAGACGTAGTCCTGTTAACGTTGACAACACACGTCTTAAATTCGAAATTTTTAAACTTTTTGAATAACTTTGTGAATTTAAACCATTCTCCAATTCACCTGAACATTCACAAAAAAAAATCATTAAAATCGGTCCAGCCGTTTAGGAGGAGTTCAGTGACACACACGTAAATGTTGAGTATATGATTTTGTACCTTGCATCATTGCTATTGTTTTAGTTACTCTGTGACTGCATAGACAAAACTCTCTACTCTGTGTAAGAAGACAATCAATGTGGTGTAGTTGTGATTTGATGTTGATTATTGTAATTTAATAGTATCATGTGAAACCGTAGTGAACCGTGTGTGTAGAGCCGTGATAGCTTAGTGTCCGGGCGCTCGCATTTAATTTAATATACTCGAGCAACCTGAGTTCGATCCCCGGTGCCAGCACCAATGAAATTGTCAATTTTAAGTTCTGAATTATCACGTTCTCAGCGGTGAAGAAAAACATCACGAAGAAACCTGCATATTTTCGAAATAATAATAAAAAAATATTTCGAAGATATGTGAAGTCCGTCAATCCGCAGTGGGGCCGCGTGGTGGACTATGCCCTGATACCCTCTGTACAGAGGAGGCCTTTGCCGAGCAGAGGGACATGTATAGGCTGATACTTTACTTTTTTATTTTTGGGAACCCAGTCCAAAGTCTTAACTTTTTAAATAAAAACAGAATAAAACAAACATAAAAGCGTAACTGAATATTTATTCTGATTCACGGAACCACATTTTCTAACATGGTAGCAGAGCGTGGTTTTTACTGTCATTTATATTGCTTTGAGCAAAAACCAATGCCGCGGGTTAAATAAAAGGGATCGAAGAAATGAAATTAACGCCATCCATATACATATCGGTGTTTTCTGCCATGTTCTAAAACGCACATGCGAGATTCTTTTTTAAATAAGTCGTGAACTCTCATGTGACTTGTCAGAGTGGAATGAGTGAAATTGTTTTAATCCCCTGGTTTCGTTGGAAGCGATAAAGTAGTTTTTTTACTTTAGTGTTAAATTTTAGCCCCCGAGATAACAAAATATGTAAAACCAAAGCAACGTAGACAACTCCTAAAAATCAATATTAAAACCTTGGCCAGGCTGTACTACATGCAATAATTAAAAACGTCATTAATATCCGCTTACAAACAAAAATGAAATAATTACAAACAGTAACTTTCTCCATCTCTCTCGCGAGCAGTAATTTGTTTGGGCGCCATATACGAGAGTTTCTAACTATAGTTGTAATTACTACACCGGTAATTATAGTTGACACAGCTTGTGGAGACTTGGGGCAAGTTACAGAGGAATACCGCTTTAGGGTGTGCCCTTAGTATATGACCACAATTTTCTGGTATATGACGTTATTCTGTAAAGAAAAGCATAAATGAAATAGATCTCGATTATCTAATGACTGACAACAGTATCATAATGACTCTTTGTTTTAAGAAACGATCAAAAAGTCATTAAAGGCTTCGGTAGATTTAAATATGTATGAATATAGTCTTTCTTTCAACTTTACGTTCGATTATTAAAGTAGTGTTTTTAAGGACCAGAATGAATAACAGGTAATTATTTATGTTAATTGATATTTATTTAATTAAAAAGTAGAAAGGAAGGTAAGAATTATACTCGTAGTACCTGGAAACGTCAGTAGATTGCCCTCGGTGATACTAAGTCTTTCTCTTCACAAAAAAAACTACACCCTTTATGCTAAACTCACGCTGTTTTGTGAGTGGGCCTAACGCCTTACCTTCACTTATGTAATAACATCACGAATGGGTCCGTCCGGGTAAGTACCACGACGTCACAGAAAACCGGTGTGAAATAGAAGTGTTACACTTCTGCGTTTCGTCTGATGAGTCAGGTGGCCGGAGCCCACTTTATTAAAAGGGTGGCAACGCATTCGTAATCCTACGGGTGTTGCAAATGTCCATGGGCGGTGGCTACTACTTAACATCGGGTAAACAGCCAGCTGGTTTGCCGCTTTTCCACATAAAAAAGTGAGTGTTACATTTTTTACATACGTTTACGTACTTAACTTACGTACTCCACACGTTTCGTCTGGTGAGTGAAGTTGTCGGGGCCACTTTATTAACAGGTGGTAACGCATTTGCAACCCTATGGGCATTGCAAATGTCCATGGGTGGCGATTTTTACTTAAGACAGGTGAAACGCGAGCTTGTCACCTTCTCACATAAAAAAAGCTATACAATTAAAGGAAAATTTTAATAA